AAGGAATTTAAGCGTTTTTGCCCTTTCTGCACATGTGTGAATAGCATACCCACTTTCCATCTTTCACAGGTAGATTTAATTAAACCCAGGTTTTCCTTCAGGTTTGAAGGAGAACTGGTAGCTATTGTATTATATTGCTTGATTTTTGACCTTGCTTGTTGTGTGATCTTAGAAGTGAGTTGTTTCCTCTGTTATTATTAAAATATGTATTATAATTCTTTATGTGTTTCATAAATGTGGGATTTTACCATAATGAGCAAATTGGAGAAGGAAGGTTTGATTGTTCTGTCTCAGAAGGACACAGGGTAACTTGCTGCATTTGTCTTAAATGTAAGATTGTTCTTGGAATCTGTCCATCATCCTGGTTGAAAGTGATTGAGCTGCTTACTGGGGAGAACCATAATTTCACTTGCTGGCAGCAGGAGGACTTAGTGAGAAATGATTGTCATCGCCCTAATCGGACAGATTTCCTGTAAGGAACAGTGACAGCATTGTTGCAATTAAGGCTGAGAATGTACATTAGCTAGAACAGAGGAACACGTTATTTCACATGAGTAAAACCCTAAAAGAGAGGAATTTTAAAGCTAAGATGGTGGACTAAAAGATGGTCTACAAGTGCAACTACAACTTGTTAGTATTCTCAGCATCCTTCATTTTGCTGAAGTTTGAGGAGAAATCTGAGTTTCCTGAGTCATTTCTGGAGCATTCTGTCAGAGAGAAATGCTTGCAAATGTTCTCAAAGGAGAATGAGAAATGTGCACAATTTAAACTGGCTTATCGTGCCAAATATAGCTGATGTAGCAAATGGACTGAACAAAGCACAGGACAGCACAGCCTTCAAAAAGTGAGCTGAAGAGTAAAGTTCAAGATTACTACAATGTGTGAGGTCATGAACTTGATATGTGAAACTGTACAAATACACATATGCTTAGTTAAGAGAATATTTATAGAAACAGAATAATGGTGGATAGTTACCAGTTATACAGGCAACAGTTGCCAGTTGTACAGGCAACAAGTTTTGAAGAGAGATAGAGATATTTTACATTAAATGGTTACCATTGAGCGTTTTTTATTTGTTCCCTAAATCAAATAATCTTTTAACTTTAGTTAAGGTTTTATATCAGGCTCTCTCTAGGCTAATAATAAACTGCGGCAAGACAGCTGCACTGGGTAGGGATGTCTCAATAATTCTGCTTTGAATTGGGTAAAATCTGCTGATGGGTGGTCTGGCTGGTAACTGCCTAGTGAGTGGCTCTGAGTGTCTGTGCCCTGCACCCTTCTGATAACTCCTTTGAAAGGACTTCATCATTTCAGAACAGAATCCTGCATGAAGGAAGAGACTCCATAGTCCTGTTGTATACTTCAGGAAGTCCTTCAGCATTCTTTGCATAACTTTAGCTCATGTGGTGTTTTATATGTGTTTATGATTTTATTTAATGCATTAGTGCAGATACGCTAGAGAAGTTTTTAGCTAAAAATGCTAACTCTAACTTTTCTCTAGTAAGATGCCATGAATTACTTTCCTTAGGTATTTTTCCTTCCAGAAAATACTGCATATGTGCCCATGAGATATGTATATCTAATTTGTCATTCTTTTTAGGTATGGAAGAGAAAGCCTTAAAATATCAAAAATCCCTTAGAAATACGAAAATATTTACAGTATTAAAGGAGGTGATGTACAATTTGTATTCATCTGGAGAAAGTTCAGGAGGAGTTCTTGAATTTCAGAAGCTCCTGGAAGTGAACATAACTGATGATGTTGCATGCCAAATCTTAGAGTTATTAAAACAAAATATACTGATGCTAGGTTCTGCTTTTTCTCTGTGCAGTGTAAAAGCAATGCTAAGTATCATAACACTTCTGTATATTTGGAGGCAAGACACAGTATCTTCTGGGAATTAGAGTATTGGAACTGGCTCTGTGCTTTATTCAGAGGTAAGGAATGGTCTTGAGTGTACTGCTCCAAAGCACTTAAGCCTGGAAGCATGTTGCCATTTTCCTGTGCTACTGCAGGTTGACTCTTGTGCTGAAATTCAAGTAAAACAAAACAAAGCAGAAAAACCCCAAAGCTGGTAATTGGCTGGGATGATGATTGTGTGAGCTCATTCCCCCAACCTCAGGGAGGGAAGCCTGTTTAGTCAGCCAACAGTGCTCATGCCGTGAAGCTGCCAAGCATGAGCTTTCCTGAAGCATAGTCATGCTGCAACTTGAACATTTATCACTGCAGCTTAAACTATGAGCTGTTATTATTAGGATGACATAGAAGATACTTTTCTGTAGATTTTCTATATAGAAAGAACGTCTAAAATGCAGATTTTGTGATACTTTCTTTTACCATCAAATACCAAATGCACCAAATCCTCCTTTATCTTGGTGATCTCTTATGTTGTTATTTTTGCATGTAACTGGGAGAACTGGGATGTTCAGTAAACATGTTTTGTTCAAATTACCTTGAATCTCTTTTCCTGGGTTTTGTGCTGAATAACAACTTCAATTGTACATATTCCTTTTCCTCATTTAGGTTATCTCTGAACTTACTCCTTTTTATACTTTGCGTCGTAATAGTTTTGTTAGATCTCTTTGCCAGATTGTTGCAGTTCTAAACTGGTCCGAGTTAGACCTTGTGATGCTGGTGTCTTCTTACCTAGTAATAGAAAAAGCAGAACCAAAGTCCACACAAGTGTAAGCTTGGAAAGTTGTGCTAATGCAATGCTTTTTACTAATGTGAGAGTTCTGTTTCTAGAAGTCTCCTGGGCACTTTTCTGTGTGGTAGCTGCAAATCCCAGCCACAGCTATTAAGAACAGCATCAGCTGGACTCTTTCTTTCTTTTTTTGGTTGATAACAAGGATCCTTCAAGTTGAAAGTTGAATGCTGTCTTTTTGACAATTATTGTTGTCTTTTTCTTCACAGTGTAAAAAGTCTAGAGCAGAATTTCAGAAAGCTGTCAGGTTAAAACTTGATCTACTGGTAATGTCTTCTAATATACAGAAGACCTTGCATTCTTTTTATCAAAATGATGTGACTGAGCATTGCAAAAGCATCTGTGGAAGGAAAATGTTGCCTAGTTTGGAGATAAAAATAGTTTGTGACGATTTCACAAAGTAAGACTGACAGAAATCACTCTTAGTAGTATTACCTCAGGTGTTGAAGTTTAGCTGTTATCTCTGATACATTTGCAGTACTGCAGAAAGCAAGGAGAGAGGATAGCATTAAGGTTTCTGAGAGGCATATAGCAGCTTATCCACCTCTACATTTTTGCTACCAGGGATTCAGTTTCCTGCTGTAAGATGTTTTTTCCTCTCCTAGTGAAATTTTGAAGTAAGAAAAACTTACTTTATGAAATCGTCATTCGTGTACTAGTTGCAGTTTAGAGAGAATTTTCCATCTCACATAATTTCTCCTAGAGTTATTTTCATCCTGTTGTGATAGTCTTGGGAAATGAGCTGAGATGTTGGGCTTAGAGGAGGGAGGAATGCCCTGGCTCTGTGATGCGGGGTGGCAGAGGTCCATGGTTTGTAGCCAAAGGCGAAGGGGAGGCAGTGTGGGGGAGCAGCTATGTAACAGCCTGAGGAAGTGAGTCACTGGGCTCTGAAACACAGTCCCATGGTTCCAGTGGCACTGAAGCCAAGCTTGGCCTCTGAGGTGGAAGTTGCGTAAGTTAATTAAAACTCTTTGTCCTTTCCTCCTCGTCATGTTCCCAACCCCACCTCAGTGTTAAAACCTGTACCGTCTGAGGAAGCTCAGGTTACAGGACTGCAGTGTGCTATATCATTTTGGTTTATTATTTTTCGTTTTAGAAAGCAGAATAAATAGATTGCAGGTTTCATTGGAGGGAATGTGTGTGTTAGTCTTACCTGCTCCACTCAAGAGAAACTTGATTATGTAACAGAAGGGGTGTAATAAGAATAGTTTTTTTACAATTTGCTGTAATTTTCCTGGAATGTATTGGCTGTAGGATTTAAAGTGGAACAGAATGCACGCTGAAAAGGATAGGAATAGAGACTTACACTAGAATGTTAGTAGTGCTAATCTGATAATATAATTGAATTTAAAACTAAATATCTAAAAAGGTTTTAGGTGTCCAAATAGGAATACTAGTGTATGTGTTCACACATTAGACCTTAATCCTGCAAGCTAGCCTCTTAGAGTTTGTGGATAGCTTTTCTTCATGGAGAAAGGGGTTAGGAGGGTAGAATTGTTGTAGAATGTCTGTTCTGGAAGGGCTTTCTTCTATTACATTTGTAGCTTTTCACTAACAGATATTTGCTGATGTCTGCAAGCAGCTGTTACAGGAGCAGCTTCCTGAACTACCTTTCAGTGAGTGTGACCTGAGCGGGAGCAGTTTCTTTCAGCTGAAGAAAACTTCTGAGAGAGCCACAGGTTGAGCAGGCCGTGGCCCTAGGATGGGATCCTAGGGCTTGGATGCTGGGTGGGCAGATGTTGACTGCAAGGCATCTGTAATCATTGGTGGTGTGTGTGTGTGACTGATGGGCTGTTGCCTGACCATTTTCCTTAAGAATACTGAATTGAGCATCTTGTTGCATGTTTGGCTGCAGTCTTCATGTACATATGTGGCTTTTAAAGGTCTTTGGGAAATGTGGCCTTTTGGCAAGCCATGAGGGGTTTTTGTTTTGTGGTTTTGAGTTAAGATTAAAATCAGATTATTCTGGCTACAGAAAGATGTGGAAGTAATTGGCCAGATCAGATGTAGTAAAGAGTAAAAGTAAAACTTTCAGGGTGCACTTAAGTGATTAGTCAGAATTCTGTGTGCAGTAGCGAGTTGCATCATGCAAGTACAGTGTGATACCTATTTTGTAAAACAAAGTTGTTTTGTTTTGCATTCTTCGAGCAGGTCAGATCTGTTGTTTCTTCCGTCTGTTATCCTGGTCTTCATTTCCATGGGAAATGGGACAGACATACACATTGTTGCTTATCACATGAGCATTCATAGGCCAGTTATGTCTGTTGATGATTCATTGCAATTGCTTCTCTATTTCAGGACCTGTAACTAAGTGGACCCTACTGACCTCTGAACCACAAACTATAAGAGTGAAAAGAAGTGGGAGAAGCACACAAAGAAAAAGGAAGTGAATGCACTTTCATCTGGACTTCTTTCCTGCCCTTTATTACTGAAGCTGAATGGAAAAGAAAGACTGCTGTGCCTTTCCTCCCCCAACCTCAGGGATGGGTGGATTATAAATACTGTGTGTGTGGCTGGGAGAACAGACTGAACCATGAATCTTCAGGCTCAGCAAAAGTCTTCAAGCAAACGGGCTGGGAAACGAGTTGCCTATTTTAACGAGCAGGACATAGCAGTGCCGTCAAAGGAGCCACAGCAGCAGCTTAAGGAGGGACAGTACTATGGTCACGGAGGGAATATACCAGTCTCTCAAACTATGGAGATTTCTCATCCAGGAGGATTAACAAATGCACCCAACAACGTTGCTTTGATGAACTCTGTTTACAATCAAGATAGGGGAGAGTCAGTGATGATGCCCCAGTCAGTAACAGCTGTCAAATGGCAGAATTCACTAATGGGAAACCGGTTACCAGAAAGGGGTGACAGCCACTGGCAGTCTCCACCTTCAATGTGGAACCACAGTATGGTTTTTGGGGGCAACCCAAAAGGACCCCACTCCAATGCTGGTGCCCCAGGCTTCTATGGCCACCCAGAAGCTCTTAAAAGAAATCAAGAGAAAGGAGTGTTTGTGTCACAGCTGGATTTGTATGGAGATGCTGTCCAGCAGATGATGTCCCAAAAGGCTCAGCTGGAACAGCAAGCCCTGGTTAGACAGCAAGCTCAAATGAATTCTTTTCATCAAATGCAGAAACAGCAGCAGCAGAATCAAACTCTGCCATTGCAGCCTTTCCAACTTGCATTTGGTCACCAAGGCCAAAAGCAGGGTCTTCCTGAGCTGTTACATGTCTTTCAAGAAGCCCCAACTTCTTCCAGTCCAGCATTTACTGCACAACAAAAACAGCAAGCTCTTCCCCAGCTACAACTCTTTGAAAATTTTTATCCTCAGCAGCAGCAGCAACAGGCTGCCACACAAGCCTTTGGTCTGCAGCAAACGACTTCTATAGCACAGCCTCATGTGGCAGCTGCAGCACCTCAGCATCACATGATGCCACACCAATTTCAGCAAGCAGAGAGGAACCAGGAGCTATTCAAGGCATTAACAGAGCAGAACCAACAGACTGTGCTACCTCAGACGCAGATTCCCTTTCCAAGAAGGTCACGGAGACTCTCCAAAGAAGGTGGCCTGCTGACATCTGCAGGAGAAGTGTTGACTTCTAAGCAGGCAGAAGAACAACCTAGCAATTTATTTCTGCACCACTGGCAAACACATCAGCAAGAGGTCCCGATACAGCAAACACCTGAGTCGCTGGGCCACAGTAAAAGTAGCTATTTGCACCCCAAAAGATTGGATCTGGGGCAGAAGGATGTCCTGGTGAATAGTGAGCAGTGCCAGATGGAAACAGACAGGCAAGCTGCAGCCCAGAATGGTAGAGATGAGGAGAAGCAGGCAGCAGCACCTGAAGAAAACAGTCAGAGAACTAATGATTTTCAGAGTGTCAGAGGTGGTGTAATCCAGAGTACCCGACGGAGGCGACGTGTTTCTCAAGAAGCCAATTTGCTGACTTTGGCCCAAAAAGCTGTTGAGCTGGCTTCTCTTCAGAATGTAAAGGTAAGGTATAGACCCTAACCATATAGCATGTTTTACACGACAAAATAGGGCTGAAAGGAAGGGAAGTCATGTACGTATGCAGGATAGGATGGTATCTTGGAAGTGTGCAATGAGGGCAAGCTCTGGTGTGGAGGCATGTAAGTTCAGCTACTGTAATTCATAGATGTGGGAGAACAGAGATGTAGTATAGTGAAACCACTAAGGGACAGTTTTATTTCACTAACACCAAATGTTATTTTAGCCCATGACATGAAAATATGGAAGTTTTCAGCTTAGGTCTCAAGGTGATGAGGAATTTTGAGAGGCAGGTATAAGCAGCTTACTTGTTGTCTTTTTACCAATTTAACATTCTCTTTCTTTTCTGTTAAAAGACTTAGGCTTACCTGCCAGTTTTTCAGTTTCAGCAGTTGAAGTGTTTCTAAAATGTGCTATCTAAAAATTACATAATGCAATTTACATGTTCAATATTTCTCAAATATTAAAAGTCTAAGAAAGCTTCACTTACATGAAGGACCAATACCAGGCATGACAAAGGCCTGTCTCATGCAGCATCCCATTTCTAAGAATGACCTGAGGGCCTGTAGACCTCCTGTAGGACTTAATGAGGAAGAAATTTAGTGCTGACTGATTTGGTAGTTCACTACTCCTAACCTTTTGATATCCCATCAGTTTAAAGTAAACAGTATATATTCCATATGGCAAGATGACAGAGTTCAAAATTAACTAGCCTATTGGGAGACAAGTGATGGGATTTTTGGAGTTGAGTGGGGGTTTTTGGAGGGATTGTTTTTGAATGTTTTTCTTACAGTTGTGGTTTGCCTAATCTTTTATTGAGTGCTTCTTAGGAGGCACACTTTTCCTTGGAAGTTCTCTTCCCAAAGGCTGATGAAATATACGTTACATGAGCTGGTTTTACCTACACTTTTGATATCTGAGTTGCTATCCAGTCACATAACAAAGGGAAAGGCATTTTATTGTCCATTTCATCATCCTTTTTATCCTAGTCTGTCTCTCACTGTTTTTTCCCATCTCTTCCTTAGGGGAATGTGCTGTTTGAGTGAAAGAACTAAACTAATAAACAATGAGCTGAATATCCATAGCCTACTCCATCTCTTGGAGAGCAGAAACCAAACAGTGACTTGACTTGGCTGATGTTGTCTTCAATCCTTTTTGCTCTAACTCCAGTTGAACCAGCAGATTTGATAAAGAACTGGTAGTTTGTAGTAGCATGGTGTATTTGCTCTTACTTTGCCAGCCATTGTGTGATTATATTGCAAAAGGCCTGCAATTCACATTGCACTTGGATCACTAACAGAGTGTCAAGAAGAAGCAAATAGAGCATTTAGGAAAGGGCCCTGAGAGATGAAGCAAGAAATTGGCTGTTTGAAGGCACGTCTGCTTGCAGTCTGATTCATAATGTAAAGACCAGAGAAGTGTTTTGACAGATGCTCTTTTGTTCTTTGCAGTTATGCAAGCATAATGGCACTAGCAGAAGAACTCTTTATGTTTAGATCTCTTCAGGTTTTCAGGATGAGGTTTTGAAAGATGATAAAATTCTTACCAGAGGTCTGATGGATTTTACATCTTTAAGGTGTTGAATATTGTGTGAGGGAGAAAAAGAAAATATGTTTGCTGAATGAGAGTGGGCTGCTTCTCTTATGAGTGTCTTTCTGTTAAAAACAACCTAGAAGCCTTCTCTGCATAGATTATCTGAAGAGTGTGTAGAAGGCCATAGAGTTAAATTATTGATTGAAGAAGATATCATTCATAATTTGAACCAGTTTTTTGAACATCCCAGTCTAGGTATGTGTACCTTATGCAAAAATAATATTCTGGACAGCAATATCTGTCTACATGCAGTATCATGACTGATGCTTTGGAACAGGCCTGTGGCTGTCTTTTTTTCAGGTGATGCAAGCTTGTTGCTGCCTACAGGCTGCAGTAAATTCTTAACTCCTTAATTGTTTCAGTGTGACTTGTTGAATTCTATAAGTACAGAAAACTTTTTTCAAACCTTAATGGTTTTCTACAAGGGTGTCTGAATTTAAATATTCCTTTATGGAAGGAAGACATGTTTTGCTTACCTAGCTGCTTTCCCCTGGCACAGGGCAGGGCACCAGCTGCTACAAACAAAAGGAAGAAAAAAGTTTTGTTTGCAGAATTGTAGTTCTGGTCTCGTCTCTTTCATGGACAAGCTTTGGTTTGACTGCAGACAGAAGCTGCCTCTCCTTGATGCAGATGATGCAGAATGATAGCAGAAAGCACTATGTGGGCAGGTGTTTTTAAAAGGCTGGTGTGGTTTCTAATCAGATCACAGATGTGGCCTTGGAACAGTTCTTCCAGCTGTTGTAGTTGGGTTTTTCTGTGAATTCTAAGATTTTTAGAAACAGCTTGAGGGATAGAGAGGATCGATGCCAGGATGTCTGATGGGTTTCTGTGGATTTCCTGGAGAACTCTAGATGACTAGTTCATACCTCAGTATTTATGCAAGAGTCTAAATGAAAGTGCCATATGTTGCACTTGCTGAAGTTATCCAGCAGCCCTCCTGCCCCAAATTCTGCAACAGGGATTCTGAGGTAGCCAAAAATCCCCTAGCAGGTCCCATCCTTTCTGCTTACCTCTGAGAATAATCAAACAGCTGAGAAACTGTTTAGAGATCTGAAGCAAAAGGCTTAATTCCAAAATTAGTCATGCCTCTTGTAAACATTAGGTATGTGTGAACTTTTGTGATCAGAAAAGCTGCAGTGTGGACCAGAACATCTTTAAGGATGTCTTAACTATTTATATTAAGTCCTACTCGTGTTTTTTCTCTATCTGTGCTACTATTCAGGTCTCCTGTTCTTGTTTTGTCTTGGAGGGGTCAGCACTCCCATCTCTGAGGAGGAGTCCTTTGCTGATTGCCCCCAGTTTTGAAAATAAAAGGAGCATGGTAAACCAATCATAAAGCCAGAGGAAAGTGACACTTTTGGGTGACTATGGCACTTTTGAGCTGCCATAATTTCCTTCTTGTAGTCAGCAAATTAGTTCAGGTTTCTTGACCTACAGAGGTCTGTGTAGCACCCAGGAAGTACCTGAGATTTTTAGATTGGTCAGAATTGGTGCTTTTTCACACATTCACATTGTCATTATGTGTTGCTGTACCCAGAAAGTGGTGGAGGAAAGCTACAAAAATTTACAGGAACCCCTTTGTATGTAGAGTCAGTGGACTCCAGTGATGTCTGTCAGCATGATGAACATGATGAATGCCCTCCAAACCCAAAATTGGTAGTTTTATGGGAAAGTACAGCCTGTCACCAACCTGAAGTGAAGGCAGGTCCTCAGACCTCATTAATTTGTCCTGAGGCTTATTCTGGGACAGTGGATACCACTTGTGACTTTACAAGTGTGTGTTCCATCACTGTGTGGTAGAGGTGTGCATTTGCAGTGTCTGTGAAGAAGCAGTCAGACTTGTAAACTGCAGAGTCAGGAATAAACCTTTCTGTGCAACTTAGCCCAACTCTAATAACTGCCTCCTTGAAAGGAGGCAGTCCTGGATCTTCTTGATATAGTAGATTTTATGTGCTCAATCTTGTTATCTGGCTTATTTTGAAGGCTTAATGTTTTCCAGAGTCAGAAAAAAAATGAAGCAAAAACTAGCTCTGGGTTTAGGTTTTTTGTGTGTGAGAGATTTAATTAAGATAGTATCACAGTTCAGTCTTCCCTGGAGCAGAAATCCAATATTTGAAATTAATAACCTGCAGCTTTTGATAGTTACTAAAACTGAAGAGCTGTTGTCGAAAGTTATAAAGCAGGACACAAATTCATATAGAAAATAAACTGTTAAAACATAGGTAGTGGAACAATTCTTATAAATTACCTATATAAGTGTTCTAGCAGTTGAGACTACAGGCAATCTTCAAGTAATTCTATGAAATTTTAGTAACACTGCGAAATATTCTTTTAACCTCCAGTAACACTTCCAAATCAATTTCAGCTTGCAAATTGCTTCGAGAAACTTGATATACACTGAAAGTGAGATGGTATCTCATTTATTACATAAGTAATACAGAATTTTTAGGAATCTATTTTTCTTCTCAGGAGCTGGATAATTCAGAGGAGAAGAAGAGTGTGCTAGTAACAGCTCCAGGACCTACTGGAGCTTCAAAGAGTGTTGTGGAATTCGCCAGTTCTTCACCAGCTCCCAAAAAAGCCCGGGAGGATAACAGCCTTGTGCCTCTTATCATTCCTGTGTCTGTGCCAGTGAGAAAAATTGACTTGCAGAGCCTTGAAAAGGAAAAGTCTGAGGATGGAAAGCTCCAGAAAGGCCAAACAAACGATCGAGCTCCTTGTGAACGGAAGCCTTCTGTGATAGTCACTCGGAGGCGGTCTAATCGTAATACTAACATGGAGACCTCAAGTCAGGTATGGATGCACTAAGAAACCAAAGATGAGGCACATCTGTTCTATTTAATCACACAGTTTTTAACCATGAACTTATCTATTAAAGTAGTCTGATCTCAAGGCTTAAACTTGGAATGTACATAGTCTGGGGATTTTATCATAGTGTTGCCATGTATTTGGGCATTGCTGGCTTTTCATGACCTACAGCTAATGCTAGTAAAGCCAGGCAGCGCCTCACTAAATTCATTAAACAGTGAATAAAGCCAGATGGACAGTAAGACTAGAATAGCTGTCTGTCTGTGTCAAGAGTGTTTTCTTCATACATACATTAATACAAATAAATTCTAAGTAGTGCACATATCTCTCAATGTGAATAAAATCCAAAGTGAAGATTTATTCTCATGCAATGGAAACTTTTACTGAGTTCTGAAGGTCAGTACTTGATTGTTCCCCTGCAGCATGGTAGTGATGAGTGGGTGGGTTGATATTTTTATTTCCCTTCTCCTCTATCCAGAAGTACAACAGAATGTTCAGATATCACAGGAATGGCAGGCATCTGGGGAGGTTTCTCTGTATTTAAATGCTTGACCATCTAATAAAATACTGTTATATTGTCTTCTGTTCTCTTACCACTATTCAGTGTCACTGCGTATCTGTATCAGGGTTGTGGTGTATCTGTACCAGGATTCTGCTGTGCTTTTTTATTGTCTTTTAAAACTACCATGAAGGTTGGACCAGATGGACATGAAGTTCTTGTAAAATATAACTTCATAATCACATGGGCTAGCGCTGCTACCTAATGGTTCCTGTGTCCATTCCCTGTGTTCTTCCTCTCACTTTCCCCTTTTGCTAATTGTTGAGACATCCTCCAACTGTTCTATCCAGATTTTAAGCTGCCATGAAAAAATGTTGTCATCTCACTGACATTTTTCAAGTAACCTGAGATTTTAAATTAAATTAACAATGCAATTTCTTTTTCTAATAGCATGAAGATGCTGTTCCAAAGGATGAAGCAGAGGGCTTTGCCCGAAAACCAAAGCAGCGGCCAAGACCCGAGCCCCTGTTCATACCACCTAAAGCTGGCACCTTTATTGCGCCACCTGTTTATTCCAACATTACTCCATATCAGAGCCACTTACGGTCACCTGTCCGTCTGGCAGACCATCCTTCAGATAGGAACTTTGAGCTACCTCCTTACACTCCTCCCCCAATCCTTAGTCCAGTGAGAGAAGGATCTGGGCTGTATTTTAACGCTATCCTCTCTTCAAGCGGTCATTCGGTTGCACCTCCAGTGACGCCCAAAAGTGGTCACAGAACTCTGCTTAGATCAAGTAAGTTGCATTTTAACCTTCCTTTCTTGTGTAATTTATGATTGGGAACTGTGGAGCATTGGGAGGAACGTGATGCCCTTAGGAGATGTGTTTGTGTGAAACTGGAGCTCCTTCCTGATAGTTTGGGAAGCCAGAATACAGGAAATGCAGTGTTGCTCCATCTGGGCATGGATGTTAGGATGGGTTCACAAGCAACCTGCAACACCCCCTGCTGACGTTCTTAGGAATGAAAAGTCAGTTCCTCTCCCAGGTCACTATCTTGAGCTGAGGGGAGGAAGGCTCTGGTCATCTGAAACTCCTTTATTTAGCCTGGGGGTACCTTTTTTCAGAGATGGACAGCTCTGATTAGATTTGCAAGCTGTGTGATAAGTAAATCTCAGATGTGAAGCTGAGCAGTTCTTCCTTCTTGTTGCAGATAGTTCAGAAGTTACCCCTCCGATTCTTACAGTAGTGGGGGAAGCCACCCCGGTCAGCATTGAACCGTAAGTAGGCAGCAGATTCAGAGTCTCTTAGTAAAAGTGCTTCCTTGCTTCCTCCTAAACTTTCAAGCTGCTCCCTGTGTGACTGATGTATCTCTTAGAAGCATTAAAACTATTCTTATTGGTGGTTCAAAATACAAGTTGTCTTGATTAAAAATTGCACCATATAAATATTTTTTGGTTGGGTAAATGTAATTCTGGTGACATTAACAGCTTTCTATTGATGCTCACCTGTGTCTGGGCTGAATTACTGTTAGTTACCTAAAGGGGAATCTGTCCTGTGTTGTTCTATACAAGCACTTCTTTGTATGCTGTGTGCTTGTTTTAGGGTGGGAAGATGATGTTCCTTTAGAGGAAGGACAGAATGTCCTTGGAAAACTGGGGTTAGCTCTCCCATGGACTGGTCTGGTTGCAGGTGTGTTGTAGCTGCAGCACAGCTGTGAACACTCCGCTCTCCCCTGGGCGAGCTCAGCCTGAAAACGCTACAGCCAGTGGCATATGGGCTGTGTGCCCTGAGCTAATCAGCCTGGTTGGTCTTTGGCTGGCTGTGTGCTGTGAAACCTGGGGACACAGCAGCAGTAGGGAACACAGTCTGGAGATGTTGAAGCTGGAATTGTGATCTTAGGCTTGGTGTCAGTCCTGCTAAACCTGAGCAGAGCTGCAAATATCTCTGCACAGCCTTTGCCAGTGCTCTGGGAGTGTTATCAATTCAAGCTGAGTACTGCAGAACTACAGCAAGGTAGTGTAGTTCCAGTTCATTACTATACCTAATTAATTAATTCCTGCAAAATCTAATCATGGAGATGCATGGCTTGGAAGCACCCATATGGCATAAAAACACCCACATGGCTCTGCATCTGACTGTGCAGTCAGGAATCTCTGCTCGAACTCTGCAGCATATCCCATAACATTTGAGATATTTGACTCAAAACTTCCCCAGGTAAATACAAGGCTTCTTTTGCTTTTATCCAAAATGGTTTGTATCTTAAAAATAGACTGGTGCATTTGCTGAAAATTTTTTTCCTCGCCCTTTTCCCATTCTGCCTTCTTGTTTGAAGGCCAGGTTTTCTGCACTTGTCACAGCAGCCTGTCCTGAGCAAATGTTGCAATTGTGAATGAATGTAGATTTTTCTTGTAACCTTTGCAAACCTCCTCTAGACCAAGCCCATTCATTGAAATAAGCACATTTATTGTTGTATAAATTTATTTTGGAAGTGTCCTAATTAATCTTTTTCCTGTTGGTTCATTTAACATTAATCCAGGGGAACTTCTTGAACAGATATTTTTTGTGTCCCTCTCAGGTCTCAATCTTTGACCTCTCTGTGGTGCAGTTGTCTTGCGTCTGTTGGCTTAAATTGCTGAAGTTATTGACATAAAGCTGGTTGTGATTTTAGTTGTATGTGACAATTTTCATATTTTCAAATTAATGTTGCCATTAATTTCAAACCATGGCATCTTACTAGTGCAAGTTCATTTACTTTTGCCAAAAGGGAGTTATGTGCAGATAGACAGTTTGTCTAACTGTCATCTTAACTCTTGCTGAGCAGATGCTTATGGAGGTAAATTGCTTTTAATTTTTAATGACAGCAAATTATTAACCTGGTGTCATTTCGTGTTTGGCAGCACTGGGATGGTCAGTTATGTAGACATGTCTTCCTTAAAGAAAATGTGGCAGGAAGCACTTTTTCTAGAAGAAAAAAATGTTTAATTGGCTTTGTAGTCTTGTCAGAAGTTGACTCTAACTTGTGATTACCCAGTATAGTAGTCTTAATTGCTTGCCAAGCCTTCTGTTAGTGCTTCTTAAAAGGTTATTTAATTGCAGTGATTTGAAATAGGAAGTGTGATAATGAAGCTTAATTCTTTGTGAAATGGTACAATAGGCAGCTGTTGTCACAGATCCTTGTGTCCTGCTGGTTTTGTAGTTCAGTTGCACCAAAGTCTTGGGGTCACTGCTGAAGTAGGCAGCCTTAAATATACCTGTGGTGTATCACTGTGAACTGCCTTCCCAATTCAGCCTCAGTTCTGGATGTTGTCACACTCAGCTCCCATGGCATCCCAGGAGCACCACTGGTGCTTTCAGGCAAGAGCTCTTTATGTATTGAAGTCTAGACTTCATCAGTAGAGGAACAGAAGAATAATACAACTTGAATGGATCTCTGGAGATTATCTGGTCCAAGCCCCTGCTCAGAGCAGACCAAATTTAGGTTACCCATGTCAACTCTTGCAGTAGAATTCTGGTTTTATTTGGGCGTTGCAGGTACGAGACGAAATTTTTCGTTTTTTCTAGCCCAGAGATGTCATATTCCAAGTTCAGTTTCAAAATGAAAAGAAACTTTCAAGAAGGCCCACATTCTTTCCCTCCAGATCTTCCAGTTGTCTCTTTCTTTCTCAGAAGTGAGGTCAGAGGAGTCTGTATCCTGAGACACAGCCTCTCCCAAATTTCCCAGTGCAGTCTTTATTGCAAAAACGCCTTTTTATCTGTTTCCACATGGCAGTTTTGAGCAGTCTTTCCTTCAAGGGCAGATTATAATCCATAAGCCTTTCCTCCTCTGTGAAACTGCATGCCATAACAGTAAGCAAGACTAATCACAATGAGTAGAAGACTTCACATGAACATTAATCTGCAGTCGATCTCAGTGTGCTCTGAAAGGAGAGCTACTGCTGAGTGGGTGATGAAGTTGGAACAAGTGTATAGGGTAGTTAACTTCTGCATTGCTTTGTTTACACATGAGCTGTTCCCCTTAAGGACATCTGGATTGCTATAGATGCAAAAAAAAAACAGTTTGCAAAATCTTTTTATGTGTGTTAGAAGTCAGTAATTTTTTTGAACATGGGCTTTTCCAATACATGACATCTTATGATGAAAGTGTTTCATGAAAATACCAAAATGAGGAATTGGGTGGAAAAGGGACTAAGGTATTTCCTTCTTCTCCTTCCATACCCATTTCCTCCTGTTTGATAACACAGTCTCTTAGGACTTCAAAACACCATATTGAAACACTTGCTGGTATCTCTGGATTTTTGTACAGGTTATGTGTTGTTTCGAGGCTTCCTCACTCCTTTTCCAAACTTCTTTTCATAATAGATGTGTGTGTCATTTCAGAGGACGAGAAAAGTCTGGAGGTTGGGATTTCTCAGAAGTTTTTGTTATTATTCCTTATTGGACTATATTATGCTCTTTCTCTGGTAATTGTGCTAGGTGTGGGGCACCAAGCCAAGACTTGAGAATTATAGCAAACCTTGTCCTGGGTGCAGGGAGTTTCACTTTTTTCTAGTGAAGCAACTCCAGAATTTTATCATCTTCTGGGCACTGCCTGATCTGCTCTCTCCAAAAAAGAGCTTTCTTTCTCTATACTTTACTATGTCAAGAGCTACCAGTGTGGTTGACTGACATCTGAATGAGGAGTATGTTCACATTAACTACACAGCAAAACAGTCTTTCACTTGGGGTTCTTACCCACCTCTCTGCACAAAATCACACTTGCTAATACAGAGTAGAATCTCTGTGGATGGTCACTTGACTTAAAGCAAATGTAGTGCTCTGTGGGTTGCAGGTAGTGAAAAGTCTGTCTGCTAATTCAGATGTAAAAGTATGAGATTGCTGTTGGAAGGATAGGGTTTGGGTTTGGTACAAAATGAGCAATACAGGTTTCATTGTTTTATAGTTTTGGTTTCAGTTGTTAGAAGGAGTACCTGGAAGACACCAGCTTGTGTCAAGGTCATAAAGGACTAAATTTTGATCCTGCTTTGAATGGGAAGTTGGACCAGATGGCAGTGTTTAGGTTGAAAAGGACATTTGGAGACTCTGGTTCAGTTGTTGGCTGACAAAATGTTAATACTAAAACAGGCTTACCTGTCTTATGCCTGAGGAACAAGCTCGCCATAAGAGGACCCTATATGAGAGCCTCTCCAAAAGTAATGATTATTAGAAGCCAATAAGTGTTCTTTGAGCAGCTATTAGGGGATGCTAATTTAAATACAGTTTCAACCTATGCTGATTAAAAAAAAAATGAAAGATTAAAAAAAATGGAAACTGGTAGTAGATGTAAAACCTCTCAACTTCTAAGTTACTTATATAACCTACAACACTGTTGGTGTTAAATGCAAGAGCCTGCATTTGTATAGGCATTTGTTTCTTCATTTGGTTCTTCATTAGTGTTTCTAGCAGAGACGGAGACTTCCTGGGTATTGTAAAGATGGCCTGACTGTAACATTTTTCCTTCTCTGCAGGCGAATAAATGTAGGAACTCGCTTTCAAGCAGAAATCCCATCACTCCAAGACAGATCTCTGGCAGAAACTGATGAACATAAAGCAGAGCTGGTGTGGCAGCCATGGGGTGACTTGGAAACCAACAAAGTTACCCAAGAGAATGGTAAGAAGTTGGAAGGCTGTTAAAGAGGGCAGAGTTGTCGCAGTGGTTGTAGGGATAACCACTTAGCTACTGTAGGCATAATTAAAAATCTTCTAGAGCTACCATCCAAGTGACATGTTTGAATGGTCTTGCAAACAGTTTTAGGAGCAAAACTTGTTTGTCAGATTGCATGTATGGGGCAAGGGGAGGCTGGTAGGATTGGTTCTTTTAATAGTAAAAAAACTGTGACTGCTGCTTCTGTCAGGCCAAGAGCAGCCTTTTGCTCAGTGAAGCTTCCTTGGTTTTGTTAACATTGAAAACCACACACACTCAACCCCTGTATTTTTGAGGGATGTTCTAGATGTAATAGTATTTCAAAAAAATCAAGTTGTAGACTGAAGTCAGGATGAGGAAGCAGGAGTTGTGGTAGCTAGTAGCAGACCTGGGGAGCTGACTGCTTCTGTTACACATGGGTTGTGGTCTGTATAAATCCTGAAGGGAAGAGGAAGTGGGCAAGCTTGGAAGAAATATTTTTGAATGAGAGAGAAAAAAGAGTTTTGTGAAATGGAAATTCACAATATAAGGGTGGGTTCAAAAAATGTGTGAGGTGAAGGGAGGTGGGAAGAGCAGGGAGGAGATTTGCAAGAAATTCCATGTGTAAATAGTGCTGCATGACCTTGTAGCCTAATGAGTGCTGGGGTCCAAATTTGACCCAGATAAATTTGCAAGGACATGCAGCTTCTCTGAGTTTTACTTTCTGTTATGTCTATTTCTCCTTCAAAAGAGATAATTAATCATGCCAATGCAGTAGGAAACTTCATTTTAATCTTCTTTTCTGGGTTTTTTTTGGTACCCCTGTGGAAACAGTGGAAAAACTGCTAGCTGCTGCCTGTTCAAGCATTTTTCCTGGGGGTGGAACCAACCAGGAGCTGGCATTGCATTTCTTACATGAAGAAAAGGGAAGCATTCTGGTGAGTCTGTCCCGCTGTTCGCCTCAATGTGGTCAAAGATGTTAAGGAAGGTCAGGTAACCTCTCATTCCTGAGAGGAGAGCCTTGCAAATTCCTTTCAGTGGATCTGGTTCCCATTGTTTGGTGTCCCTTGTATGTCCCTAATGTGGGTTCTGACCAATGTACAGTGCCATGTGCACTTACTTTTATATTTCCAACTTGGACATGTTTGGCTTTTTAACAAACACACTGACAGTCTATCAGGGCAAGTGAGCCAAGACTTCTAAATTAATCTTAGATGTTGTCTTCCTGGAAAGGTTACTGTGTAGAAGGGAAAAATAAGAGGCTGGGGCTGAAAGCTGAGTCAGAGGGCAGTGTCTTTCACCTCTTTGTTTTGGTAGATCCATTTGACTTCTCTGTCTCTGTCTGTAGAACAACTGTCCTGCTAATTTTATACCAGTATTGTAAGACATGATACACTTTCATTATTGCCCTTTGACACCTCTGGGAGGTATTATCAAAGAGCAGAGCAAAGAGCAAAGCTTTGTCATCTTTTTATAGTTCTATGACTGATTTAGACTGGCATAAATCTGCCCTGTGTTCAGGAGTATCCCACACTTTTGCCTTGCTGCTTGTTTCTCATCCTGTGGCACTGACACGTGTGCATGGACTTGCATCAGAGAAGAGATCAAACAGAAAGTAGTTTTTGTATGTGTGTGTGTTATGTTTCTGGCAGCCCATCGTTGTGAATGCTGCTGTTGGCATTAGAGAGGAGCAGGACTTCCTCTGACAGCAGGAACTCATTGTTCAGGTGGTTTAAACTGCCAGTGGAAGCACGATTCTGTTGTCTCCTTCCCACAGAATTTGAAAGCCTTCTGGTATAAATGAAAACTAAAAAGCATCTTGAGAGGTGGGAGTTTTGTGTGTGTCATCTTTCAGTCACGTGACTGCTGATTTATTTTGAAATAATGCTCAGTCAAGTGAGATCAAATTACAATTACTTGGATATGTAAAACAGGTGTCACTTAGGGCACCATTTTTGGATATGTGTGTAATAGGCCTTTGGTTAATGAGAGGAAACTGATGCAAGGTCTCTATGTATGAAATTAGCTCTCTCCCAGTACCCTGGTGGTTGTGTCAATTCACAGATGTGAAGAGGTGCCAAAAATGTACCACTTGTCTCTGGTACCCAAGATTAGATGGGCAGTCAAGAATGTGGTTTTTAAAGTTGTCCCAAGTGGTAAACTGTACTCTGTTTCTTTTCTGTTAGCTTGCCACAGAAAAGAGGGGATTAACAATTGCCTGATCTTTGTTTTTAATACCCCAAATATTAAAGTAATTATTTTACTTGTGTTTATCCAAGGGAGCTCTGACCAAACTGCTGTTGAAGAAGCCAGTGCGACCACCTACCCACCCTTTGGCAGATTATCACTACACAGGTTTGTCAACCAGAACAACTCTGTGCTACCTGCTTATATCCTTTTCTGATTTTTTGGGGTATTCTGTTACATTACAAGAGGATTAAAAGAGCAATCCTCTCTTGTAACTCAAATGATGGCTTGCCAGAATTTTTGCTTATGCAAATTATGACACTTTAAATGTAAGAAACACTGCATCCTTCTGAACATGTGCATGTGTATTGGGATAGGTATGAGTTCTCATTTTCTTTATGGGGAAAAGGGAAGGTAATCCCTTGCACTGAGACACAGAGAATGTAGAAAGATAGCCAGTATGTATAAGAAAGGCTGTGGTACCTTAGAATCATAGCCTCTCTGGCATGAGTTTCCAGGGTGGAGTTAAGCAGGGGTTTTATGGGAAGTAGTTTTCAAGCTTGCTGAAGAAGCCTCAGCCAACTATGAATACCTGTCAGTGTTTATTCAAAATTTAAATGCCATAAGCTACCTTTGTCATCATGCACCTAATTAGAAGATAGTCAGCTGTGTGACACTGATTTCAGTGATCTGGAGAGACCCAAGTGACCTGAAAGATCTGATGTAAAGCGGTAGAGCTATGATGTCTAATAGCTGGTACCACAAAGCATAGAAAATACATTTTTGTTACTATGCATTCCTACTGTAGTTGTTGGCAAAGATTAGTTGAAGAATATCTATAAGGAAGGAGGGGAGTCAACAATGTTATTATTAGAGGCAAGGAATATTTGAGGAATACTGGAGATGTAGTAAATCTTCAAGTACAGGTTGCTGCTGAAAGAGAAGATCCTGTTCTTCTGCCCCAACATTACCCTACTATAAAATCTTATGACTGGGTCACCACGAAGTGTGTCACTTCACCTTGCTTGGGCAACATCTTAGTTCATCTGAGTGAGTGGTTTTTGCAAGCTGAGCTGAGTTAACCTGTGGTGATGAGCACTTGATCTAGCACAAAGGAAGTGTTGGGAGGAGAGCTGGGGTGGAGCAGTAAGGGAGGAGTTACCAGCGGTCTGCAGTTTTGCTGTAGTAGGCTCAAGGAGAGACTGCACCCTCATGTGTGTGCTGGTCCTATTTAAGGCAAACATGAAGAAGAGGTATGTAGAAGAGTAAACATTTGAAATTGTATGGGTTTTCATTATAACTTACTTTTACCTACAGGATCAGACAAGTGGAAGGTTGCTGAAAAAAAGCTATTCAACAAAGGCATTGCAATCTACAAGAAAGATTTTTTCTTGGTCCAAAAGCTTGTAAGTTACTTTTGTTTGTTTTCATGATACATTTTTACATGTTTGTTGAACATTTTATACAGGAAGTTCAATCTTGATTTTTCTGAAACCTCAGTTTTAAGCATTAGGTCCCACACTCAAAAGATTTCAGAGAAATGTCAGCCTCCAGCACAGCATGAAATCTCACCAGAAAGCCAGAGCAATCATGTTTGTTTTGATTAACCCTGGTATTTAAACTGCATTACTTCCATTAGTCCATGCTACAGCTATCTCCTCTGCAGAGCACATTTATAGAGCATTGGCAGTGTTTAGCTTAAATGGCTTGCTGATAAAACTAAAAAGAAACACATCTTTACCACTGATGGAGAGGACCAAAGAAGGATACGAAAATGATGGATCCTTTAGATCTCTCATGTTGTGACAATGATAGGAGAAATGATCACTCCCTTGTTTTGATGAGGTATGACATGTCAGCAAGGGGGAAATCACTGAAGGAGAGTGCAAAACCAGGAACTGCAAACGTATTTACTGAATAAAATCCCCAAAGGCATTTAAATTGCAAAAGCTCAGAAGTTGAAAATATATTCCAAACATTTTAAAGAAATCACTGATGCAGAATATGTAGATGGTCACAAGTCCATGCTGATAATTGTCCACCACCATATGCCTACAAAATGCACATGGCCAAAACGGGAAGGGGCTGCAAACCTTCACTTCCATTTTTGGATTGGTATTCTGGTCTGGTCTTCTCTGAAGTGCTGCTGCAAAATAAAGCTCCTCCATAAAGCTGAGAAGCTGCTGTCAAGCCTGATAGCTCAACTGGAACATTTCAGAGGCTAAGAGGTGCATTAAGCCTACAAAGTTCCAGGTTCTGTCACCTTTACATTAACCAGCTTTTCTTTGGAAAGTTTGTCCTCTAGTTCTCAGTGAATAACAGTGGCAGTAGGGGATATGCTGTGGGATGAGGCACACAGGCGAATATGACACAGAAAAAGAGGCTTGAACAGCAGCTGTGGTGGAATGGAAACTACTAAGGAAAGAAAATACAAAGTTTATTTATTGCACCCCTAGTAATTATTTATAAATCTTTTTAAAATCATGTAATCCACTGGTGGTTTATGTTTTTTAAACAACAGATAAAAACCAAAACAGTGGCTCAATGTGTAGAATTCTACTACACATACAAGAAACAGGTGAAAATTGGTCGGAATGGGACCTTAATCTTTGGGGACATTGATGGTGCTAATGAGAGATCAATGAAAGATGAAGCTGAAGTTGACATCAAGGTAAGTAATTTCCTAAATTTCTCTCACCTCTTTTGGGCTGTGGTTTGAAGTCTTGTGTGTTGTCTCATTTACTGGTCAAATCAAAAGCACAAACAATCTGGCTTCTCCACAGGAGTCCAGACTCACAAATTTGTGTCCTGTTGTCACATAATGTCATTTACCTACCGGCATCAAAATTAACAGTTCCTTTATCTTCTGGTGAAGAGTTCCCATAGGTTTGCACGTGTTCTTCCTCTCAGAAGGGACATCTTCAGTGAGGAACAGGGGCATGTGGAGGAGGAGGAGGAAGAGGATGAAGAAGAGGAGGCAGAGGAAGGGTTGGATAACAGAAAGAGGAGCGCCGATGCTCTGAAAGATGAACAGACACTACAAGATGGTGTAATAGTAAGTGCTGCATTGTGCATGTTGTGCTTTCTATGCCACCTTCACTTTGCAAATGGTTTAGAAAACATGTGGGCAGTTCCAGATGCAAAAAGTTTCCATCTCTAACTTTTTCTGGAGCAAGAGATTGGGCTGAGGTAGATCAGAGTGTTACTATCAATCAGACTGTGAGCTGTGATGGGAGAACTGGGATGTGTAAGGTGGAAAAATGCAATGTATTCTTTGTGGCTAGTGGACACAGAGGGCCGTGATGAGAAATGTCCTTAAAATAGCCTGAAGATTTTGCCATTAAATAAAACCTTTGTCTGGAATGAGTGAAACACAGGAGCTCAGCTACTGTCTTCCTTCTGATGGTGGGTTTAAGTGTCACTTTGACTCAATTCTTCTCCTCTTTGCAAAGGCCAGCAACACCAATATGAGGAGTCATGAGGCAGCTGTCATGGGCAGAATTGGGAGGAAGCCAAGGGAGACAACAGTGAAGCCTCGAAAGCCTATTACTGCTCCAGTGCAGAGGAAGAAGAGGAAACAGAAGACAAAACCAGATGCTACCAGTAAAACACAAAACACAGAAAACACATTTCCATGTAAAAAATGTGGCAGGTAAGACCAACTCTGCTTCCAGCAATAGTCACAGAATCACAGTAGGGCATCTCCTGTGGAAGCTTTTTCCCAAATGAACTTTCTGTCTTTCTGTATAGGCCATAGACATTGGCAATAGTTCTAATGAATTACTGCCCCACTAATACTTGCAAATTAAGGCTTGTTTTTCTTCAAATGGCATGAGATACCACCTGCATTTCAGCTGTGTACAGTAGTTGGTGTTAAGCTGCACTTTCAAGCAGCTGCTATGTTGGCCCTCTGTAATGCTTATATTTTTGTAACAAGTTTCTACGTATTTGCTAGATCACATATAAAGAACATGGTATAGACTTAAGAACAGTGGTCTAGAAACACGAGACATTAACATCATTATTGCAGCAGCTTATTAGGCCAGTAGGTACATAGTTCATCTGGTTACATTTGCAGCTGTCTTTGGTAGATGTCAAATATATTTGTATTTCCTCACACAGTTTTAGTAGTTTTTGCAGGTCTGTTGCCACCAGAATCAAACTGTCAAGAAAATTCAGCTCCCTACATAAGTTGCTTACTCTTAAAATAACAGGACAAGCAGACAAGGCTTCTTAATGATGTCTGAACTACACTTGTGGCACTTCATGCAAAATCCAAATAGTTAATGGTGGAAGGTGGAGGAACAGATCACAGAAATGTAGAGTCAAAAGGAAAAAGCTCAAGTATTTCGAGCTCTGTGGACAAGGCTCAGGAGTGGCATTGGGCCATCATTTGCCTCACTGCTTATGGTATTGTTGCAGCACAGGGGTATGCCTGAAAACCTGGGCTATGTTAAGCAGCACGTGCATAATTCAGATACCAGCACTGCCCCTCTGAATTCAGAGCTGAATGAGAAATGGCCACAGTAAGAAATTAAGCTCAGGATCCCCTGCTAGCATTGCACCTTGCTCTCCATGTCCTGAGTGGCGTTTGCTGTAGGTGCTCTATCGTGGTGCCTGTGGGAGTTCCGGAGCTGAAGCTCGTGAACTTGAGGCCAGAGCAGCAGAAGCTCTTCCAGAAAAGTGTTGAAGGAGGCCGTAGGAGAGGCCAATGCTAATGTCCCTGTGTGCTTTCCTCAGGGTGTTCTACAAGGTGAAGAGCCGCAGTGCTCACATGAAGAGCCACGCGGAACAGGAGAAGAAGGCGGCAGCACTGAAGCAGCAGGAGAAGGAGGCGGCAGCGGCGGTGGCAGCCCGCAGCCAGGCCCAGCAGGACGAGAGCAGTGACAGTGGGAGCAGCAGCAGCGGGAGCAGCAGTGCCAGCTCGGATGAAGATGGAGAAATATAGCAGCAGACCAGAAGTGGAGGGAGTAGCAAGGCTGGACCCAACCTCCCTCTCGCTGGTCTCATTTGTTTTTTGCTTGCACTTTTCTTACCTGAAGCATCTGGTTTTGGTTTCAGTGCTGCCATTTCCTCATACCACATGTTCCACTTCACCTTGCCAGTACTGACCAAGCCAGAATGGTGGATAACAAGATTTGTTTCAACTCGGATTTTTTTTTTTTAAAGACTGATAAGATTCCTATTTATAATGATACCCAAGGTACATAATAGAACAATGTCACCTGCAGTGGAAGTAAGTTCTCTCAGGTCAGTCAGACCTTTCTTTTTGTTCTTGTCAGGAATTTTGGTAGTAGGACTCTTGGATATAAAGGTTTCTAGACTGGAGCAAGAAAATGAAGCTCTACTCTGAGCTAAGTGTATCCAGTTACTGTGACACTGGTGATTTCTAGTTTTTTCCTTTCTCAGCAAGTTCTTCTTCCTTTTATTCTTTCCTGCCTTTCTTTCTGAGCAGTTATTCAGGCAGACAACAAGTTTTGTGGAAAGATGGTGTGCACTTTTGACCTCTGTTTCACAAAAATTAAAAGTAGGATGAGCAAGACATTCTTCTTCCTTTTGAGAGGAAGTTTTATTTTTCAAACGGAAGCCTGAGGTCAGTTATCTTATGGCATTAAGAACATAGCAATGGATATGAAAATATCCTGTGTGATAAGAGTAGCCACAGGCCTTGCAGGTTGTCTCATCTTGGAAAAAAAAAATAGTCAGCCTTTGATTAACTTGAAGGAGTCTGGGCTTCACAAGTGCAATTTAAAATGAAAATTACTGGGTTTGAATTTACATAAATGGGAGCAAGTTTGTTTAGTGAAAATGAACCCAGGTCTTCTTGTGTGCTAGGTTGTGTGCACCTCAAAAATGGGAGGAATGGAGTCTCGTCTCCAGCAGGCATCCCTCTGTGAATGCTTTTATCTCTCAATATCCTCTTCTGTCTTGTAGCAGCCCTCATTTACTCCTTGAAATTGCTATCATCAAGCTTTCATGGCAGGGCCTTAGTTTCCCAGGCAGTTGCTGTCAGACAGTATGTACAGGAGAAGCTTGTCACCCACTTGCACACCAGTGGCAGGGCAGTGCTGCCTGCTGGGTTGTCCTGCTATGAGCTGTTCTCTTGCTGAAAGGCTGACTCTTCTTCAGAACTGACACAAGCTAGTAGCCCAAAAAGTCTAGCCACCAAAATCTGCTGGTGAAAGAGAGTTAAGAAGAAGTGGCCCAGGTGACAAATGTTAAATTCGCACAGGATTGTTCTGTACATCTTTATAGCCCACATTTATCATTATTTTGTAAGGATGCAGAGAATCACTTGTGCTTCATGGCCAGCTGGTGCCATCCTGTAGCCTGGCTGCCCAGCTTCTTCCCTCCATCCAGTGCTTAGGAGCAGCAGTGATCCCCAGTTTCTCAGGTGCTGGCATTGCGTCAGACCAGACCGTAGGAGCTGATTGCTCCTGCCTTCCCCAGCAGGGATCCAAGAGATGTTGTTGTATGTGAACTACTGAGTGTGCCTGACTGGCAGATTTTTTTTATTTAAATCTTGACCCTTCCAGCTGCTAGATAAATTCCTGGCTAACTATAGAAAGAGGCTGTAACTCCAGCTTGTTGTCTGTCAGTCTTCTTGCCCTGTAGTTTTATGCAACCATGATGGCTTCACTCTTTTGTTTGGGAGGCTTTGTATTGTACAACGTTTGCTTTGACATATCTATGCCTTTGCATAGAATCCTCTTTCTGAATAGCAGAAACAGTTACTGCTCTTACCAAATCAGGAGGAACATCATTAAGGACTGCACTCTTTATAAAGTTGACACTTTCACCTGTAAGTGTTCAATTTTCTGTCAAGACTGTATTTTTCATTCCTATTAAAACTGGGGTTCCTTTCAGCACTTAGATGACTGTTCCATGTTCCTACATTGAATGGATCTTGTTGACTAAGAAACACATGGCACATTGTGAACTGTTAAAATCATTCAAAAACTGCGAAGAACTAAAAGCTGCTTCTTTAAAAAGAAGCTTAAGCAAATCAGTCTTCCTCTTTAAGATTTCAGTGTTGATTTATATTTTTTTTTCTTTTATAAATCGGGGGAAATTCTTGTCTGCCATTATCTTAGGGCCCTTGGAGAGAACAGAAGCTTTAGCACACTGTGTCAGGAGGAAGAGTGGGTGAACCAACTGCAAGCATTATTACAGTCTTCCAAAGGCCAGATCGTTCACTGATTCTCCCTATTTTAGGAAACTGATATAATTTTTCCTCTTGTCAAGGACAAGGTGTTGAGGTGCTGGTTAGAACAAATCAGAGCTTTTCTTTACTTGCATAACAATGTTGTGTATATTATGTACTGATTCCAGTACTGGTTGTTTCTCTCCCACCCTGCTGCAGTTTAAGTAGAATGGAACAGGAAAACTGGACACAGTCTGTTACTGGAAGAAAATCAGGAAAGGGCTTTTCTGAGGATAACCTCTATAACAGCTGCGGGTTAGCAGGGCTGACCACAATCAGGTATATGTGCTAAGTGGCATCAAGTTGGAATGTTTCTGAGCATACTTCCAAGTTGCCAGTAGCCCCCAGAAGACTTCTTTTCTGGCATGGTAGTAAGTAAAACAGTTCCTCGAAGTGTCATCTTAAAAGACAAACAAGCAAACCAAGCCTATTCACTGGCTTACAGAAGGAGTTTGGAATTGATCCTGCATTTGAATTAGAGCTTGCCTAGTAGCAAAAGTTGGCAGAGAATTGTTTTTAAAAAAAAGAAGAAAACCAAAACCCAAACAACAACACCCAGTTTCTGTGGACAAAGCATTTAAATGGAATTTTTCTAATCTGGAATGAGTTATGCTCCTACTTTTTGTGAGGGGAAAAATAACTTGAGTGGCTCTTTACTGCAGCACAGTGTTAATTTAAGTTTGTTATTCGAGTTAAGATTTAAAAAACCCATCCCAAACAAACAAAATGCTTCTCAGTGTTCTGTTGATATGTCTGTTTTAAAACTCCATGCTCATTATTTCCCATCGTTTAAGGGCCTATTGATCAATCCCCATTTAGTGTAAGGGTGTGCTGCTAATTTACAGAAAAAGGCAGAAGAAAGTCAATAATTTGAACAAGGTGTCTCTTCACTTTGAAGAACAAATGGGAACAAATATTTATAGAATGCAATTCTGTAAATGTGTACTAATAGATTTGCCTTTTATAGTGCAGGATCAGACTTCAGGTGGTCATATACCCCACAGTCAGATGGCTGTATTTCAAATCATTACCTGCTTGAGCCTTGATGCCAGCCCTGGGCATCATGGAGATGCAGTGACAGGTCATGCTTGCCCTGATCACATACTTCTGCCTGTGCTTCTGCCTGCCCTTTACAGATAGATTCAATCTTTCAGGTCTGTGATCTGCATGGAATAGCATCTGAGTTTTGTAAGACTATGTGTGTATGTAATTACTAGATAGATGCATGCACTTGTGATGCAAATCTGATATAGCTGCAGGTGTTTTGCAGTCTAGCTGCAAGAACTACTCTGCATTTTAATTTACTTGATGTTTGTTCTTTTACTGATACAGGTGATGGTATCAGAGAGAACGTGGCTCTGTAAGTTGAAAGCCTACAGAATTTCACTCAGCTGTGCAGGACCATGGCATTTTGCTGGCTAGAAAAGAGGTAGGGATGTAGCTGCTTAAAGGCAGGACAAAGATAGAAATTCAAAAGCTTAAAGGTAATTCATCTGTTAAACCCATTGTAGATAAAGTCCAATTTAACTAAAAATACTCTGATTTATCAAACTGAGGCTTTTGGTCATTTTTATCACTGCAACAAGCTTAGATTAAAATCAACACTTTTCAGAAAAAGTCTTTCTTAAATCACAAACATGAGCTTTCTCACTCTGCAGTTACACACTTCTTAATTCTCTTTCAGGCAGTGGACTAGAAGGTTCCTGCAGATACATACTGTATTTTAAAGAAATGGGAGTAGGAAGGACTATGACCATAGGAGTCTTGCTTTCATACAATGGCACATTTAGTCCAATGCTTACCAGAAACCTTATTCTAATACACATTTTCCCACACAAACTTTCTCCCTGCTTTATCTTCTGATGTATGTCTGGAAGTTTATAAAGCTTTAAAGAGACAGAGAAGTGAGTCTTCTACAAATCATGTTTCATTTCTGGGGGGGGCTTGAGTTTCTAAGTAAATTCGTCACTTGGGTTCAGCTGCTTTACTTTCCCACCTTCTCTCCTGTGTCGTATGTTAGAAAGACACAAACTTTAAATCCCAAGCTGTCTAAGGATCTTTCTTTCCAAGACTAAGATTCTACTGACAGCTGAGCCTGAAAAAACCCTTAACTTCTCCAGATTAGAAGACAACATATATTTTTATAGAAATATAATTGTGTATTTTAAAAAAGTTTCCTGCAGCTTCTCCACCTGTATTTTTTCCCTTGTAGCTCAGATTTGATATAAACTTTTTTGTGTTCATTCTTTTTATGTTCTGTTTTTAAATTTGTAGTCAAAGCTTTGGTGTACTGTACAGGAGCAGTCAGCCTTTGTAATTACTGTATAAATGCTTTATAATAAAGTATATTACTTTTATTTTAACAAATGAGCAGACACTTCCTTTTGTGTGTCTGCTGCCCAGTGCACCTTTTAAAAGACTGTTACATGTTTAAAATGTACATATATAAATATATTTACCTGTTGCTGTACAGTTGTGATAGACTGGACTGAATTTATTTTTTGTGTGCTTTTTTATAAAATATTAATACACTAAAGGAAATCTTTGCGGATGTGATTGTAATGTACTATGTAACTTATTTACTTAATATCCTCTATATATCTAAAAAACCTTTTATTAAATGAGGTTAAAAAAATAGTCTCTTAGCTGAGTTTCTCGATGGTATGAGGGAGTGGCCGGGGGCTTGTGCAGGCTGTCATGCACAGGAGGCTGTCCCGAGTCCTTCTGGCTGGTCTGCTCTCTCTTCGTTCTCACCTGTGTTTCCCACAGCAGCCCTAGAGGCTGTTTCTCACCTTCCCCCGAGACACAAGCCTGCAGTGTGTTTTATGTCCTACATCCAAGAAAGTAACTGGCACCTCCCAGGAGCCCAGAGAAATCTGCAGCTCCACCATTTTACAGAAGTGTTGATGGGATGTGTGTTCCCCTCCAAGCCGAGCACCCTCGCAGAAAGACAGAAACAACGTTGACAGTGTGCTAGGAATTCCTCGGGAATAGGTCTGCTGTGCTCTGAGTAAGGCCAGTGGGATTCTGACACTACCTCAAACAACTACAAAGACCATGGGCAAGGCAAAGACATCATGGAATAACTTAGTACCTGATGAGCCTGCATCAGATGAGAATTCTGCAATGGCTTCAGTTAGAGATCACATTGTATCACACTTTCAGTGATAAAGTTTGAAAAAACTTTTAGTAAATACTGTCTTAAAGGCACTTACCTGTTACTTGAATCTGAGGGGGGGGATTTAACAGGTTTTGTTACACAGCATGTATTTTGTTTCTTCTGGCAGCAGTTGGATCTCTTGTCATATTTATGAGGATAGATGGAAGCATATCTAAAATTCAAGATATGGATTTTAAATATGCTTCCATCTATCCTCAAAACATCTTCTTTCTGTTTTGGTACTTTGCCTTTTAGTTAACTTGGCTACACAGGTTTTCTCACACCCTGTGGGCATGATGTCTTTAAAAGCTACAAATGCTACATAAAGCAGATGGCAGAAGTGCGTACCGGTGCCCGACTGGTCTCCTGTGAGATTGCACTTACGATCTAAGGCAGCACACCTGTTAATTTATGCTGACCTTTTCATTTCAATATTTTTGGCAAAGCTGGCAGGAGAAAGACTTGGCCCAAGACATGAAAACACTAATTTTTTCAGCTCAGTGTAGAAGTCCTTGCTTTAGTTTATTCCTGTGCCTGTGGTGGTTGGATCAGCAATAGCATTGGGAGAAAAAAGTATTTTGCTTGGTGTGTGAAGAGACGGGGAACACTTAAACCTTCACTTGAGATAACAGACCAGGACTTAAAGGCTTTAAATCATGCATTTGCCTCCCTGTCAGAGCCAGCTGACAAAAGTGCTGAAGTCTTTGCATTAAATCTGAGGCTGTGCAAACAAACCTTGGATGATGAAAAAACCCACACATTTTGAGCAATTTGGGTTCTATCTTTTTTGAATGCTGGATCTAAGCCCAAGCTTCTGGAAGGTATTTCAGCTACTGAAAGAAACCTTATAAAGCATTTTAGTGACTAGTAAGCTTTGAGTTAGTGGTACTGTGAGGAGTTCTGCAGTAACTCCCTATATGCTTTACAACCATCACTGTAGGATGCTGCTCTTGTCATTATTGAGACTAACTGCTCTGGACTGTGGGGTAGGAAGAGTTTTCTTTATATCAGAATTTTGAAATTACATTTCAGTGACATGGTCTACTGAAGGCTGAAGTTTCTATTAGAGAAGGCTTTGAATCAGTAAGCCTTCACCTGGGTTTAATGGAACTGATTGTTTATTACTGTTAATAAAATCTAAATTCAAAGTGAATTAGTAATTTTCTACTGAAGAAAGACCAACCATTTCTTTACTTACCTGGATATTTTTCTACATATACCAGTAGTAGATTTTCTCTTAGGACCTAAGAACAAATTCTGACAACCAACGTCTTAAAAGATTGAAAAATATTTATGTATCAGATGACAACAATCACAATATATCAGCATTTTTAAAGCCTTAAGTTATTTTCTATTCTAAAATATAGAGGCAATAAGGAATAGCATTTACATGCTATCATACTCTAAATACATTGCTTCCTGAGCAGCCAGGAAAGTTTAATGAGAACAAAATTTAGTTTCCAAATACTCTTCACAAGCTGAACTATTTCATTACACATCAGCCAAAGACATTTGTATAAAATAAGGTTATATTATTTTTGAACAAGTTTCACAGAATAACATTTATAAACATAGGCCTAAATAATTTAAACACAGCAAATTTAACAGCTTTTCATTCCACAAAATTACTGTATAAAAAAGATTGCCAAAGAGGATGTTAAAAGTGCTATCTTACTTGGAAGTTTTTCTAGATGAGCCTACTTCTAGTGTAACCCGAGTCATCTGCTGGTTCTCAGGTCTCTTATGTCATTTTTCCATCAGTTCTCAATAATCACTGAGTACATCAATCAGCTCTTTGAAGACAGGTGAGTGTGCCAACAAGCAAGCAAAAAAACCTAACTAGTTCGTACCACTAATTTAATTTTAGGATATTTCTCTAAGGAATAAAGTGGATGCTAGTCCTCTGTAACTTCACTGGGAAAAGCAGAATTCCACATGGCTTGCACATTTTATATGGGTGCCCTTTTCATTCATGAATAATAGTGTACTTACTACTTCACTGGATGTGGTGTGATAGGGAACAGCAGAGTGCACAAGTGAAAGCCAGACCTTCCAGCATGTCACTTTAGTGTCCCTGTGGGCACACAGGCCAAGGTGTCACTGTCACCTTATATATAATATCGTGTAGCACTACCAATATACAAACCAGCTGTTTTAATTCTACCACCTCTCTATGTCTTCCATCACATCCAGTGCCTAATTTTAAAGTGCAAATTTAAAAATTTAGGGAAACTGCTTTGGAGGAGAAAAAGTTTGGGGAGGTTGTTTTGTTCTTGAGAGTAATCATGACTCATTAGGCAAAGCAAGATAAAGTGAAGATACCAGCTTTGAGACAAAATATCTCCTGATAGAAGCCACAGCCAATTATTTTCTTACTGAATTGTTTCAATGAGACTGACACATAGTTTTTATCAGAAGGGTTTTAAATTATGTTCTAAGACTAGATGCTCCCTTCCTTCAATAATGATTTTTTTCTCCTTTTTTTTTTCCTTTTTTGTTGGTATTTATAATGCAGCCTTCAAAGCAAAGAGCTAGAGAATTTGCGCCATTTCATCTGTGGAAAGCACCAATGCCAGTGGGCCACGTGATCCCCCAGCTCTACCACCACCTACAATAGTTTTGGACTGATGCCTGTAGGTGTAGCCTCTATTGATCACTTACAAGAGTCAGGAACTGCTCTTACCCCTCACCACTTGTCAATGGATCTGTGTTTTCACTTCAATCATTACAACATAGTCAGAACACTAAGTTTCTATTCTGCTCTCAGAATGCCCCGATATAGCCAAAGTGTAGAGTATTTGCTGTATCTAATGTAACCTTCAGAAATGTACAGACTTAGGCCATATTTAAAGAATCAGCCAGCAGGATTACTAGGCATCGGACTGTGCTCATCACTCCCTTTTCCTCCTGTCACAATCATGTGTGGAGCTAACCCAGCCATACACACCACTTGCAGCTGTGCTGGGAGAGACTGGTCCATAGCTTCAACCACTTTTCTTCGTGGCCAAGCACTAGGAGAAGAGCACCATGTGGTCTATTCTGAAAATATCTACAAACACAGAGATGAATTTGGCATTTCTGCTTGTTGGGAAGATTCAGAAGGCAAGTTTTGAGTCAGTCAAGCTCTGGCTCACATGAGCCACACTTTGACTACAGTGGTCAAGGGCACAGCCAATCCCCTGTGGGCACCCCCAGCAGATGGGGCCAAAAGGGCCTAAGTGTGCCATGGGCTCTGTACTGCCCAAGCAGACAGTTCTACCTTGCCAAGAGTGGTTGGCTGCAAATGGACAGAGTGGCTTGGCTTCAAAAGATGTGTGAAATGACTGCTGACTGTAGACACTCCTCCATGGTGCTTCTTGGTCAATGCTTCCTTTACTCATAATAAAGCTAGAAGAATACTTCTAAAGAAATAACAAACAAAAGTGAACTAGCTAACTAAGAAAGTAGTTTCTGGTAAAGAGAACAGCTGCCTGGAAATAGTTTGTACTGGGTGAAGAATGTCCAGAGTTTTTGCCATTGTGCTCTTGACTTACTCTTAGTAACGGATCCAAATCAAACTCTTCAGCAAATGCAAACTTAAATCAGAATGCTTTAGAATTCCTCCAATAATCACAGATTAAATAGCAATATATTGAAATTAAACTGTGATTGTCTTGTAATCATTTACTTCACAGTGTTCAGTTAGAAGCTGATTAGAGAATTGCCTACTACAATTATACTTGGAGCTTGAGATCTGTACTACTGTTGCCTGGGCCAATTCTACCATTCATCTCTGAACTTGGCTTCCAAGATTTCAACTCATGCCACACCTTCACGAACAAAATAACTAAGAGTGTCATTCTGACCCCATCCCTTCCATGCCTGGGCTGGAACCAGCAGATACACTTGTCACTTCAATTTAAAAAAAAGATGGTACCACAAATTAGAGGGAAAGCTTGTTAAAAAACCAAAAAGGAACTGCAGAAAAATCTACTCAGGTGACTCCATCTATTCTTCAAAGAGAAGAAGAAAAACTGCACTTTTGGCATCCCATAGTGCAATCAGGTATGTCTTCATCGTTGTTTAATGCTTTTCACTAGAAATAGCCACATAAGAGTGCTTTACTAAAACTGGTTACCCTGCAATATAGCACATTCGGTACCTCTTCAATACTATTTTTACCAATGCCCTCATCATCTCATCTCATCTCATCTCATCTCATCTCATCTCATCTCATCTCATCTCATCATCCCACTGTCCCCACTAACTACATATACTTTCTCTCACTGCTTATACCTGTGCTTTCACAAAAAATTAGTATCCCCAAAATCAAAATTTTCTGTCCTCAAGCCCAGGTTTTCTGTTTGCTGTTAGTGTCTCTGTTACTATCAGCCTCCTTAGTTACAGGAAGATTCCAGAGCTAAGAAGGGTTATGTCCACCAGTGACCCAATCCAAAGCCAGAAACCAGCTGTAGGCTAATAGGCAACATATTTCAAAGTAATGTCTTAGTAAGAGACTAAACCCAACGTTACCAGGTATTTTAGTCTTACAGAAACCATGCAATGAATTTCCATTGCCTCTTAAAAATAAATAAATATATAAGTTATACATGGCCTTCTAAGCAATGCAGTTGAGTTCCAATGTGAGAAGCCCATTTCAAGACTTAAGGCCAGGAACAAATGCTCATCAAACCAATACCTTTTTTGTGCGTATGCAACTACTGGGCCTGTTTGGCATAACACTTCAAGGAATGAAAAGGCAAACTCACATATTAAAACTATTGAGAAAGTCCCACAACAAAATTAAACACAACAAAGCTCATCAGGTGTCTCTAAACTACAACATTATTCTTCTGGCCTCAGAGTTTCCAATTCAGTGTTGGCCAGCAGCACCAAATAAGCTAAACCAGTTCTTTTATAACCCAAGTGAACAACAAGCACCACTAATCAGGAATGAAAAATAGCTATGTATTAATTTAAATAAAGATCTCTTGCTAGCCAAACAGCAGGTAAACTCAGCTCCACTAGTCTCTACAGAAGGTCTCATAAGCTTGACAAAACCAGTGTGAGCAATTTTTGGTAACTAACTCTTTGGGTGAGAGATTGTGGAGATAAGCTGGTCTTTTAAAAACTGCCCAAAGATTCTCTTCAAAACAAATACTTTTATAAAAGTTTATGTGCAAAGCTATCTGGAGTTATTTTAATAATTTAATACCCAATAAGAAAGTGTCATCAGTTTCCTCCTTCTGCTCCTTCTGCTCCTTCTGCTCCTTCCACTCCTTCTTCCTCTTCTCCTTTAACAACTAAAGTACCTAGGAGAAAAAAAAAATAGGAAAAGAAGAAGAGGAAGACATAGTTAATTATGATCTACCTGAAATTATGAACTTATCTGAATTATGAATTATGATCTTATCTGCCCTGTTGGAAAGAGTCAAGAGTTGTATTTCCTGCCTGTTTCTAACCAACATGAACTTCTGCATACCTCAACTGGTCTTAACTAGAAAAGCCTTTGACTTATGAGCTCCTCTGCTGTGGGATGTTTTTCCAACTTCTTGGGTAACAGGGAACAAAAAGGTTCTAAAGTATGGTCTGCAAAGATCAGCCCCACTTGGTCTCTGGGAGATGCACCAAGTCAGTTCAATTGCTAACAACATACCCTTCTTTTGTAGGGCCCCTACTTTGTGCTGCCTTTTCCAGGACATATTTGCACAAGCTTTAGTGTGGTTCGTAATACTACCAAGGACACTTTTTGCCCACAGATATGTGCCCCATTCCTTTTTTTTGTTTTACATTCTAAACTTTTCCTATTACAACAGCAAATGGACCACTGCAGGCCATCCTTCCTAGCAGTGCAATTCTCTCATCACGCTTCCACTTTCTAAGATTTTTTTTACTGCAGTTGATCTGGTTTTAGATAGAGTCTGGTAATAGGCTTCCCATCCACTGCTCCCTGTAGTGAAGCTGTCTCCTCTTGTTGACATGCCTCCACCCTTCCCTTCCCTTCCCTTCCCTTCCCTTCCCTTCCCTTCCCTTCCCTTCCCTTCCCTTCCCTTCCCTTCCCTTCCCTTCCCTTCCCTTCCCTTCCCTTCCCTTCCCTTCCCTTCCCTTCCCTTCCCTTCCCTTCCCTTCCCTTCCCTTCCCTTCCCTTCCCTTCCCTTCCCTTCCCTTCCCTTCCCTTCCCTTCCCTTCCCTTCCCTTCCCAGATATTATTCTGACTCTGTGTTAGTGTTACCACTCCTGCTCTCCCCTTCATTGCTTTAGTACACAGGGGATAATAGTGAACAGCTAACATCTCCATTGATGGGAATTAACATATTTTAAAAGAGATTTCAAAATTATCTAATTTTTAGTCACTAAGCAGTTGAATATCTTTTCATAGCAGTGTCTTAAATAGGAGAGGACAGCTCACAAATTGAGGCTTACTGCAGTAATGGAGGGGGATATTCAAGCATTTAGGAAATTTGCATGCAGATTTGAAAATTTGCCATTGCATCAAAAGCAAACCAGAACATATTCCTGTCTATCTCCATTATCTCATGTCACCTCTTTTGTTGGGAAAATTGTAATTCAGCTTGGCAGATGAAAGCCATGTTAATTTATTTAATGCTAAATCTTTCCATTCCCTATTAGGTATTTGATAAAACTACTTGGGTAACTACAGAATAATGCCCAACTGTATGTTGCAAGACCACTTGGATTTAGCACTCCAAAATCCATCAAACACTGTGGCCAGGATCTCAGTAACTACTTCTGAATAACTCTGAAGAGGAGGGAGGAATATTAATTTCATGGGCACACAAATGAATCTCTGAGGTTATGTTTAATTTCCCTGTGGTTGTCGTTATATTAAGCTTTTAACTCACCCCAATTGCCTCTTGCCCCAAACTCACCATCCAGCTTTTTCAGCTTGGGTACCCGTTTGGTTGCTTCTTCAATCCAACTGTTCTGATCAGCGGCAAATTTCTCCTGTAGTGGATTGCCTACAAACACCAGCTCCTCTAGTACTGGCACTTCTGCCAGCCTCACAAACTCTGCTGCAACCACAAAGATGAAAACAACAACCAGATTGTGGAACATGGAAAGAACATCTGCACCACACATTCCTTTCACAATCAGTGCAAACATAAAGAGCATGGGATACAACAGGAGAGGGACTGCTTGGATTCTAACTGGTGTCAGGTTAAAGAACAGGGATGTGCTTTAAGAGAGGTTAGAGAAAGATGATTCAAAGCATGAACTTGATTTGACTAAGAAGTTAAATTCAATATTCTAACTATTTTTACTCTCTTGCATGAGTGGATGTTTAGGGATTTTGCACATGTCTGCAGGCTTGTCAGTTACAATCAAAGCTCCGTGAGATACAGCACTATATTTCACTTGGTGACTTAACTCATGCATTCACCACACTATACAGAAATCTCTACAAAGTAGAGATGCATGGCTTACCCCAGTCTTTCACCAAATTATTTGACATATAAAGAACCTTCAGTTTCTTCATTACACGGATACCCCTCAGTTTCTCAATTAAGTTGTATGAGATCCACAGCTCCTCTAAAGTTTCAGCAACTGCCTCCTGGAAAATGACAGGACTACTCAGATAAGCAGAAGTACATCTTCCTTATTATTCCTACTCTTGCTTCACCTTCTACAGGTAACATCATGTGAGAAAATAGTAAGGTATATTAGTCCTCATTTCCTTTTAAGCAGGTGCCTAATTATTAGGCATGGCAAATGCTCATGGGAATTAAAAGGCAAAGTTATATATGCAAATATATGTAAGGAGGACAGAAATTGCTATATTAGAATAAAACAAGATGTTTTATAAAACAAGATGCAGAACTTACTGGCTGCAGTAGTTCTTAAGGCATAGGGGCAGAGGAGACAAATCTGCCTACTTGTGCACTGCAAGCATGTGTGAAGAGAATGCAATTCAACAACTGCTTTGGAAAGGATGTTACACAGTGTGAGAGCATTTTTCATTCTGGTATTTTCTTGTATGTTTGTATCTGCTGGCCAGAAATCACATTCTTAATTCTCTCAAAAGAGAGGTTTTTTAAAGCCAGTCATAACGCATTAACTCTGCCTTTCACACTTAAGAGATTTGGCATCTCTGAAGGTGAGAACAGCTTTGAGGCGAAACAGTATCTCTTGAGAAAGAATTTATATAATCACTTAAAAAATGCTGATGAAAAAAGTATTCTTCTGACCTGAATTCAAATGTAACAAAATTGATCCAATTTTTTTCCTCAACTAATTTTCCCCTGTTAGGTAGACTCAGTCCTGCCACCATCAACTCTAAAGCCATACTGTGTCAGGTGCCAGTTACATAAAAGGGACTGACTCTAAGGAAGCGTGTTTTTACAGCACTGCCAATATTTGTATTAAAGAAGCACAGCCTAAGTATCTTCAGGTAGAAAATTCTGCATGCAAAATGTCTGCAGGAATTATATTCATGTAAAGCCAGCAGAAGTTAAATGGCTTTACAGATAGACAGCAATTTTCAAATAGAACTTCTGATTTTCTTTATTAAAGACAATAAAATCTCTCTTCCTAAAATTTTTCAGTGTAGTAAATTAAGGTAGATAAATTTCCAAACATTAAGAGAATTTGAACCAAAAAAAGTGAACAACTATCTGAAAATTCAGAAGCAATGTGAAAGAGTGTGAAGAGATGATAGCAAAAGGAGAATATAAAAGGTTAGTGCCTAACCTTTTATTCACTTAATTTTATTGAATTCAGCAAAGACTTGTATGAACATGGGGAAATTACCCCATATTCTATTTTATTAGTGAAGTATTGATACTAAAAAGCACATACCAATCCATTCAGGTTCTTTATGTTATTTCTTCCCAAAGACAGAATCCTCAAATTTTCTGCAATAAATTTTAAAAAATCTCATAAATGGGGTTTCTTTAAAATAAGAAGGTGCTGTAAGTCAGGTAAAATGCCATATTCTGCCTACAAACTGCACTCTGAATAGGCTACCTTAAGAAAGAATGACCTAACAAAAACAAACCCTCCTGACCTAAACAGATCAGCAGGAATTGATGCAGGGGAAAGCTCAGAAATACACTCATGAATACAAAGCTGCTCATGTATAGGTTACCTAGTGGAAATTCAGTTTTGATAAATACTGAACAAAAATTATTATTTCACCTTGCACCTGAACTCTAACTGCTGACTTGCTTCTTTTGATCTTACATAATTCATGTCCCTTCTTCTCCAGGCAAAAGTGGTGCTGATCTTATTTTAAGGCAGTAGATTTGGTTTCTATACTACAGGCAGCATATAAAGCTGCCTTACAGATGCCTGATGAGAGACATTCAACTTAGTTCTAGTTTGTCTGGCTTTAGTATCAAATACTTGGTATAGCCTGGATGTTTTGAATCTACATTAATATAAATATTTAAGATGCTTTAACAGCTTTTAATGTTTTATACCACTAAAAATTTCATTGGTTTCACTTCTATGTACAATTGCCTAATTATTTTTTGTCATGATAGTTACAGAATTAAAGTATTAAAGAACAATTATTTGGAAAGACTATTGGAATATATTTCTCTGACTAGTATTCCCAAATCTTTTGAAGTCTGAGCTTATTATGCAAAGAAATGAGTTTATCAAGCTCTTTGGCAGATCTCTTGGTGTGCAGTTGGAAAGGATGAGATTCCAGGTTCCTTATCTATCCAACTGGCATTTTAATAGGAACAGAAAAGCCTGGAAGCTCCACTTCAAAACCTGCACTTCTTTGTCAGCCTCATGCCACAGTCAAAATCTTGAAGACAGACCATTAAGACTTCTGTTCCAAAGTCAGTAACCCAAGAGTTTCAAAGACAGGTGTCCAAGAAAGAAAAACTCTACTTCTAGACAGATGGCACATCCATGTATAAAGTATGAACAAAATGAAACCAAGTATACCCAATTCTCTGCAAAGTGGAATGACATTTTCTCCATCCAGGTCTACAACACTCCAACCTCACTGCAACCAATAATGCATTTGCAGAGTTGTTGAACTGCAGACTGTCTCCATCAGGAGCATGGAAAATAGTCATGACATCACTCTAGAACTGATTAGGTGTTGAATAGCACAGCAAGGCTCATGGGAAGGTTCTGAAGTGCTTACTGAATGGAATTTTTTGAATGTTGCACTGTGAGACAACTGTCAAGGCTAGTGCAAGGATACCTGCTGCAATACACCACTGCTGCTCAGCATGCATTCTCCAGTAAGACTGGTCATTTTAAAGGTCACTTGTAATGTTCTATGAGGAGGGAATAAAAAAGGATAATAACAGATATAAATAAAGCTGGACACATGTAACAAATGATGGCATATCTCCTAGCCAGGCAACTAGAAAACAAACACAATGGACAGCTGGCTTGTCACTTACTTAGATTGTTCAAGTTGGCGATTCTATCAATGCAGTTTGTAGATAGTGATAGTTTCCTTTAAAAGAAAGAATAATCAATTCACAATATATAAGGGATCACTGCACTGGAAGAGTTCCATGTCCCAACACCACTGCATTAGAAATAATTATATGTTCTTGTCTCATTAGATGGTAAACTAACTGGATGTGTAACAGACTCAAAATATCCTCAAACCATTAAGCTTTATTTAGTTTCTGGGAAAGTACCATGAGTTACTTACATTAAATACTGGATTATCTTTTGATGCCTAGTCTTATGAAGTGCATGGATGTTTATTTCTGAAATTACTGTAATCTCTTTCTGGAAGTCCTGCTCAAATTGCCTCTTTTTTTCCGTGAATTTTGGAGGGGATCATAAACATGACTTTTAGCTGATAGACTCCAAACACAAATCTATAATTATATACTGATAAACAGTATATAATTTTTCTGGGGACAAATATTAATGCAGAATCTACCCTAACACCTTCTGAGTTAAGTTACAGGGGTCTTTGAATTAAAAAGGGCAATTGTGTGCAGAAAGAGAAGCTCAGTTAAGAAAGAAAGAAGAGAAAGTTGCTGCTTTGAAGGCCACACTTAAACAGAGTAAACACAGATCTGCAGTGGACAGCAGAAAAACTGAAAGGAAGAGAGGATATTTTGTTTCCAGCATGTTTTTAATTGAACTTACTCGCAGTTAACAAGAGCAGAGAGGGCACCATCCATTTTTTCCACAGGAGGAATCTGCCCATACAGTTTCACTTCCTTTGCCTCTGAAGCCTTCTGGCCACTTTTCTCTTCCTAAAGAAAAGAGAAGGTGAGGAAGAGTCTCACTGCTACATGCAATTACCAAAAACTACTACACTAAAATAATTACTCTAAAAATGAATACTATAGAAGGAATTCACATATACTACTGGAAGGAGAAAGCATTTTCAGTACTGTTATCAGGATTCCTGCTAGTGTAGCATAAAAAGGGTAAAGCTAGCTCATTTTCAAGGTATCAAAATAACTTATACATTATATATGTTGGGTTTTAAAAGTTGTGTAACACTTGAGCAATTTAGTAAAGGAGTCATCTGCCACAAGGAATGGAGAATAGATTGAAGGCTAAAATTCTGGATTAAGATATTTCCATGGAGACTGACATACAGAAACCTCAGCTAGGGCCAATCTATAGCAGAAGCAGATTTAAAAGTTCTCACAGAAAAGTCTCCTCACTTCACCCAGAAATCTCAGAACTCATGCCCAGCTCACGACACAAACTGAATACAGGGGAGTGTGTTTTGGGGGAGAACTTCAACAGATTCACAGCATTAAGAATCTAAAAAAAAACTATTCTAATTAGCCATTAAGAAAGAGTGGGGGAAGATGTCACACTTAAGAGAATACAGCAAAAGACAGATTTCCTATTGACAACCTAGGCTGATAATTCAGAGTCTTGAAAAAATGGACATAACTTCGGCATTTAGGTTTATTAAAAAAATATCATCAATTAAAGCTTTTAAAATTCTGAAGTGATGGCAATTATTGACTAAACGCTTGGAACAAGTATCTGTTTAGAGAGTAGCAGCAGTTTTGACAGCTGCCTCCCTGACAGCACAAAGGGAGCATTTTCTCAGTTCACTCAGTGTTCAGTGCAAGGACTGGAAGTCCATTAGCAAAGGAGAAATCTTGGCACTTTCAAAACAAGGACTTGTGTTTTCTCCTCTATTTCATTCCTCTACTGAAAAGAGAGATAGCTGAGTGTGCCCCAGTTTATATGGCTACTTTGTAATTAAATTAATCACATCCCATAAGTCTTTCAGTATCCCACAGCAGAACATCAGGTTTTGATAACATTATTTTTCCTCTTATGCACCCAAAATACTTCAGAAAACTTAATTTAATTTTAAAAGATCATGTTGTCTTGCACACTTATTTATATTCCAGTTTCTGTCCAAATTCAGTGTAACAGTATTTTTACTCAAAATTAATGATTTAGCAAATAAGCATATCAGATGTTTTGCTGGAATATGGTGATACATGTTCAAATAAAGTAACTATATCAATGTGAAACTTCCATTTTCTTTTCTAAGAACACTACTGTATCTGTTTGTATTTACACTCAGTTTGTAATCTATGAGCTCATACCAACAAATAAAAATACATTTTTCCTTAAAAACATGAAAGGGAGAGAGCTTCCAACATGGACTGGGCCAGCAGTGAGCTCACAGCACTGAGCACCTTCAGGAAGAAAATTCATCCAGATTGCCAAGTACTTCTGGAAGGAGCTGCACAGCCACAATATGCCACAGAGAAAATATAGGTAGAACAGACATGTTTTTATAAGAACAGATTACATGTTTGCCAAGATGAAGCTGCTTTGATTTCAAATTGCTTTGATTTAACTAATGTTACCCTGACTGCAGGGCATAGGTAAACCCTTATACCAAAGGGAAGAAAAACACTTGGAATGCAACACAACACCAAATGCAATTGTACAAGTCACATGGATCCAGATTAGGAAGAGTAAAAGGAAGATTTAGACCCACCCCTAATAATTAGAACAGAAAAGCAAATTCAGCACTTTATGCCTAATGTTAATGGGAACTCACTGACACAGGCTGATTCTGTCTAAGAGACATGTGACAGAGGAGCAAACGAAAAATAAATCTGTCAATAGGAAACATGGAGCTGAAGTTCTGGAGGGCAGGAAGAGTGAGGGAGGAAAAGCAAACCATTTTTATACACAGTTCATACCTCTACTAATGCTTATGTCTGCAAGTTGTTGCATTCTAGTTCTTACTAGGAGAGCAGCAATGAAGTTTGTGGGATATACCAACATAACTGGAAAACCCCTGAAATACTGAAGGTACTAAACAATGATAAAACTCAAAATGGAAGTAATCTTCAGTTACAGGCTAGTACCTTGAGCTTCTGGCTTTCAAGTGTACCTACCCATGCTGTCACATCCAGATCTTCCAGAGGCCAAAACATTTATAAATCATTGCTCTAGCAGCTGGCCAGAATTAGCAGGAAAGCATATGTACACCAAACAGCACATCTGTGCCTTCATCTAAAATTCAGAGACTGGGGAAAGATTCTCATTGGTTTTACTGCACAGTGAACCTGACCCTTGAGCATCCTACATCATCATTTGGCATTACATCCCCATCTTTGCCAACACATAGCTTTTTGGAAGACCAGGTTAGCCACAACCAAATGAGCTTCTGTATGAATAGAGTATTTAAGAAGAAAAAAAACCCCAAGAAACTCATTCTGAGTTAAGATTTGCACAATATGAGGGACTATATGTCAAAAGACATGTAGAAGATTCACTGAATTCAGTACAGTGAGAATTTCATACTTGTTTATTCCGTGGGAAAGACTGAACTTGGGTAAAGTGAACAGAGCATAATTAAAACATAATACATCCCCTACTTAGGATATCTTTTGTGACTTCATGCCCATGCATATCCAGCAGAACAAGGCAGGAGGGCAAAACAGACTAATCTTTACCAGTTGTATCAATTTAACAGGAACATACAGAAAGTCCAACAGAATGTACTATACAACAACAACAACAACAACAACAATAGTAACCATCATTTTACTTTGTGAAACTTCTTAAAGCAGATGTTTCATGCAAACATATTTCTTACAATGTTTGACAAACAAAATTAGCTGAATACAGTCAAACCTCACGCCACTAGACACTGTTCTAGTTCTTACCCATTTGGCTAGAGCTTCTTTGATGGTCGTTGCTTTTGCCTAAAAGTGAAACAAACTTAAGTGAATATTCATTGAATTTTTTAAGTGGCTTGTTCACTGCAAATATTTTCTTTTCCTTCCCTCTCCCTATCCTGCTTGTTTGCCACCCTTCCACCACTTTGCTGTATTATCTTGGGTCAGCCAAGTCAAAGAAGTTGGAACCTCCCAGTGTCCTGTAGTTTTGTTTCTGAGGTACTTTGCTGCATTTTCAGAAGCAAACAATGAGCTTAATGTCAGGACATTATCTTCCTGATCTTACTCTCTGTCCCATAGCACACTGTTTATTAGCTTTTATGGTGAAATTCAACTTAAAGGCATAAGAAGTTACTGCAATGAAAATTGTGGTCTAATGCTCTTAAATCCTTACACTTCCTATTGTGCATTAGCAGTTTCCTGCCTGAAAGCAAGTCTGTGACCAGAAAATTATACAGCCTCCTAAAATTCACTGAAGAAAATAAGGTACAGTTTGCCAAAACTCAAGAGCAATCTGGATTATATATATTTGTGGTTTCTTACCAATGGTTTCACATTGAGTTATACCATGTGATGTGAAAACATGTATGTGGTGTTATTATTCAGTTTGGAAAAACCTGAGAGCTGCTTTTTAAGGATTGACCCACTGACCAACTTTCTGTTGTCACTAACTCTTACTTTTCCACCTCACATCAGAGTCTCAGTGAAACCACATAAAGATATCCAAAACAGTAGTATATAAACAACATGCCTAATGCTTCTCTAAACATTAAACATAATCCAAGATGTCTTGGATTAAAAAAGTTTCAGAGATCAATCTTTTACAAACAGTGATCAACAGCCTTCTCTCTACAAATACAGGAAGACTCAAGTTTTGGCATCTCTGTTGCTCCTAAGTGTAGCAGGGCGTGGATAAAAGCAGCCTTTCAGGTAATCAGATATATAACCACCCCTTACTGTAGAAGTTAAAAACAACAAACTAACTTCCCCAAAAAATCTTACAGGCAGCCACCTCAGTCACAGAGCTTTAGTATTGGGTACTTTACTCTGGACCACAGGAAACTCTGGTCCCAGCAATAAAAGACAACAGCTGAGGCAGCTTTATATAAGAAAAGGCCACAGCCACCGAACACGCAGCAACAGCCTAAGAGCCAGCAACACCAGGGAGCCCGAGCATGCATCTCAAACATCAACATGCACCTCCATTTAGACATCCTCAGATGTTCCAGCTCTTTCTGCCCACTGACAGGCACTCATTTCAATCTGGTCCATACCAAGTGATAGCTAGCTCTTAGTCCTATTGGAAATGACCTGCAAACTTGAGCCCCAGCAGTAGCTCCCCAGTGTCTGCCAGAGATACACATCTGCATGGCCTCCTCTGGTTCAGAAGATCACATCCCTAAGCTCCCACTACAACAGCCTTGTTCAAGCCAATTAACAGCTACCAGTGTGGAGGCAAAAACAGCTGGCTTCCAGTTAATTGGGGATTTTTGGGCAGAAACTTCATTGCCTTTTACATAATTATGGCAGCCAGTCACCACAGCATTTGGGTACATGATCTCAGTCACTCATGTTGAAGGGAGAAATGCATTTATAAGATCAGTGGCTGCTGCTGTTTTGAAGTCATGCCTAAAAACAGTTTGGACTTTAAAGCTACTGATCCATGTGAGCACAAGGACCAGCTTCTTCCCTGACCTCTGTACACTTATCTCTGTTGATTTTATGAAAACATGGATATCAGCACAGCAGGTTATCTCTCTCTCTCTCTCTCTCTCTGGAGAGCACATATCAGGGATTTCATTTTCTTTGAGATGCACTTGAAATTTCTGTAGGTAAATCAGAGTATCTTCTCCCATAGGAGGTTACTCAAGGGAAACTTCCTCCAAGAAGCTTATCTGCAGGGTTTTTCTACCTGCTTATTGAACAATTTTCTACAGGTATTTAGACTAAAGAAAGTCATAATACTTTATTTTAAAATATTCAAAGTGCCAAGTGATCAGTGGGCATCCCTGAAGAGTCACCATCAACATGGCAGAAACAAGAAACAGAATCTCTGAAGGGGAAAAATAACCACACCTGTACTAGTAATAGTTGTAACAAAAGATTTATTCCCCTCCCAAAAAACACAGCAGTTGGACACATAGTATCTACAAAATTTAGACCCCCAGGAAAAAGCAAAACAGCAACATTTCGCCTTTATTTGCAGACATTTATTTGTATTTAAAATAGATGAAATCAGAATTGCACAGCAACAGATACCAAGGTACTCGCTTGGTGATCATCGATACCGCTGCCTTAAAACCACGTACTAGCGGAGGTTTGGGAGTTGGTGACTCCCCTCTTTCCTCGCTTCTCCCCGAAATCCCCCTTTCCCAAGGCACAGCAGCAGGCCACCGGCCCCCGCCTCAGCCGCCGCCCCGAGCCCCGCGCTGCCTCCCGGACGGCTCTCGCCGAGACCGGGCTCCTCGGCGAGGCACGGCCCCGGAGGGCTCCGCGCAGCCACCGCCGGCCCGGGGGCCGCTCCGACCCCCGCCGCCGGGCCCCGGCGCCGCCCCGGCCGCAGGACTCACCATGGTGCCGTGGATACCGCGAACGCTCCGGTTGCTACGGGCGCGGGGAACGCCCCGCCCGGAACTCGCGTAGCGGCCCGCGGCGCCTTGTGGGACGGGCGGCGCCGGCCGGGGCCTGGCCCGGCACGGGGCTCACGGCCCGGCCGCGGCGCTTGGGAGCCCTTGGGCAGCTGCGAGGGCCCCCAGCTGTGGCCGGTGCAGCTCATCCAGCCCCCGACCACTCGTCTTAATGGAATGGGATGGGCGTTTGGCCTGGCAAAAAATTACTGTGGCGGGTTCCGGGCTCCTGAGTACAAGAGCAGCTACTGGAGAGGGGCCAGTGGAGACCCACAAAGATGATGGATGAGGGTCTGGAGTCTCTCTCTGGTGAGGAGAGACTGCAGGACCTTGGCCTGTTTCGTCTGCAGCAGAGGAGAGCTCACCAATAGATACAAATTTCTCAAAGGTGGGTGCCAAGAGGACGGTGCCAGACTTTTCAAGGGTTCAGAAGATCACAATATGAGGGACTTGTCCTGCCCAATGACAGGACGAGGAGAAACGGCCTTAAGCTGAAACACGAGAAGTTCCACCTCAAGGTGAAGAAGAACCTCTTTACACTGTTCCAGCAGAGCCCTGGAACAGGCTGCCCAAGGAGGCCATGGAGTCTCCCTCTGGAGACAGTCCAAATTCACCTGGACACATTCCTCTGTAACTTGTTCTAGATGACCCTGCCTTAGCAGGAGAATTGGACTAGGTGGTCTCCAGAGGTCTCTTCAAACCCTAACAAATGTAAACCAATATAAGTAACATGGCTGCAACAAGGCCATAATCAGGCACTCAGTTTAGTACACACTTCAGGAAATAGCTACACATTCTGCAGAGTGTCTGCAATGCCTCTTGGGTCCCCAGTTTGCATTGTAAATATACAAAATGCTAGTAAATATACAAAATGCCTGGTTTTCAACAGGTCCTTCTATTATTTTGTCCAGGAAACCCTGATTGACAAAAAGGCTCTTTGCAGTAAAATTACATTGTTTTTAATTTTTCCTCCATTTAAAACAAAGTATCACTTTTCCAAACAAATACTTAACATCAAATTCTTACACATGGTTGCTTTTTAATAAAGGAAGTGTTTTGTGTTTTATTTCTCTTTCAAATTGCATGTATCTGACAAAATCTAACACTGAATTATTTTAAAAGCTTGTGCTTTAGAAATTAAGTCTGAGACCTCTTAATCTACCTGTTTTCTTGTTGGTTTTTTAATTTATTTTTTATTTACAATTTAACATTTACTTCCTGAACCTCCAGATTGCAATCTTGCATTGCAGTGCATATGCTGAGGTAGGACTGCAGTGTGGAGACACAGGTATTGGCACTGGGAGAGTGACAGAACAGGAATAGGGGAGGTGCTGCTCTTGTGCAATTGATAACAGGTCCAGCTACGGAAGAGACACAGGATGAGGCAGGAACCTTCACACAACAGACAACCCTTTCTCCTACAGTTGCTACTTGAAATGAGTTTGGAAAAAAAGGCAGTCTGACAGGTATGGGTGATACTAAGGAGCACATGGCAGCAGGTTCTGGTCCTGGACTTCTGGAGCTGCTTGTGTTAGCAGAGGTTCAGGCACCAGATAGGACTTGACAAAAGCCTATTCAGCTGATGAGGGAGTTTAGAGACCAGGCATGAAGAGATCTTTTGTGGAGTTCACAGAATGGAGCTTCTCTTGTAAAGAGTGGATGAATAAATTGTTCAGTTGGCATTGATTGTGTGTGAAAAACATGTGACTTTAATCAAATGATAAGGAATAATAAGAGTTGCAGAAAGCTATTGAATCTGAGCAGCAGCATAATGACAGTTAACTGGAGAGAGATCCCTGAGAGCAAAGCAAAACTGAGTACACTAATGAAAGATTTTTATCTTCCTGGGCTCTCAACTTTCTAGGCAGCTCTCAAACTGGTCTGACAAAAATGACTTTGGAAGGAGAAATTTTGTTGATAGAGGCCCTCCTTCAACAGGCCTTCAGCACTGGCACTATTTCAGCAAGACCCTCTTGAGAGATCAACACATTTGGGAAGAAATTTCTTTCTACCTGAATGGTGAGGGAAAAAAAGGCACTAGCCAAAAATGAATTTGGATTAAAAAAAATAATCTTGGGCAGCCGTGGAAAAGCTATCATAGATTTGGCTTTTTTGGAGGGCATTGTTAATTTGGTATGATTCTGAGTTAATCACCACCATAAGGTGAAAGCTTTTTACAGTCAGTTTAAATCTACAGGCTAGGTTTTCTGTCTCCCAACTCTGCTTCCTCCCTAAGAATAGCTGTCAGCATCTGTTGAAATCACTACTAAAGAGTTCTACAAGTAATTAATCCCTAACTTAATTGCTGTATTTAGACATGCTCTAACCTATCCAACAGAATCTTAATACCCTGAGTGTCAAACAGCAATCCAAGACATTACAGGAACAGACAGGTACATCCCAAATACAAGACAGTGCTAGTAATGCCATTCTTCTTGGATGACAAGGAAAAGTACTCTTCATTTTTCCATTCAGCACATAGTTCTTTTTTGGAAAGAAACAGACTGTCACCAGAAGACCACAATGCTAAGTATACGAGTCTCATTTCAAGTAGCTTCAAATTTCTAGTAGGTTTCTCGAGCTTCATGTAAATGGAAAACGTTTCTGAAGTGTGTATGGCTGTAAATATGAGAATTCTGGGGTAAGGTAGCTTAGGACTCAAAGTCAGAGTCATCATTATTTGGATGTCTACGTTTATCATCCGTCATTGCCAAGGTGTGATCCTCTCTTTCACTGCTGAGGGTGCAGGCTGCTTGTTAACATTCTGTGAGGTGTAAATACTGCAAGCAAGGAAGTATCTACTACTCTCTTCAGGTACTTGTTTCTTCCTATCAGGACCACTTTGAGCTGTCAAATTTGTACCATAATGCAACTTGCTTGTTGTTTCACATCTCCTCTGTTTACCTAGTTAAATTAACTTAGAGTGCTCCAAATAAATCCCTTTCTTTTTAGATTTATACTTGTAATTAAGTAGTCATTTGGTTATTTGCATATTTCAAGGCTTGTCTCAGTCAATCCCTTCAATTCACCAGTCATCACCAGTCATTTTAGTGGCTCAAGTTCAGTCCTTGCAGATCTGCAACTGCTTGCATGTGTTTAAGTGTTCATCCCAAATGCAAGTGCAGAAACTCCTGAATCTTTCCCCAGGAGTGTTCCTGTGCGTGGGCATGTGCTTTGCTCTCTCCACCCCCCAGAACAGGCACCCCCAAAACACGATCCATAGCTACCTGACAAAATGGAGTAGAAGGAGGATCAATTCGGTGACCCGCTCCTGGATAACTCAGGAGTTCAAAGTTCTCTTTCCCATGCTGGCGTAGACGCCTGATTGCCAGCTCAGCATATAAGGAGCTCTTCCACATCCGATCATCTTCCCCTACCACTAAGAGAAAGTGACCTTCTGCTTTTTCAATGGGGATCACACTAGAAGAATTAGCAGGATTAGTTGGGTCATCCAGAGCTTCAAAAACATCAAACACACCAGACTCAGAGACAGTGACTTTCTCCATATCAAAACGCAGCCCAGGCAGAGTCGTCTCACCATAATGGAGGTCTGCAACTGTGTTTGAACTACAGCCAGAGATTGAGACAGCAGCCACTACTTCTGGCAGGAAGGTGATCATGGAGAGCGCTAATTCCGCCCCTTTCCCAGTCCCAATCACTCCAACTCCTGGTCCTTTCACCTTCAGATAAGATAGGGGGTGGAAAAGAGAGGAAGAAAGGAATAAAGAAAGCATACATTATAATGGGATTAGCCATTAATTGACTTTGGAGTGGTTTTATTAAAAAAAAGGTTAGGTTAATTATTGATGTAACCTGTTGCAAAGTGACAGTCTGGACTCACGCTCCTCTTTCTGTTTTTTTGGTCTTATTTTTCAGAGACACCAAGACAGATCACACCCCACAAAAAATGCTGACAGGCACAAGGCATATTATCACTCAGTCCTTACCTGGTCCCTACTGCATATGTTAATACAAGTTTTTTCTCATTTTCCTAAAACAGGTAACAGGAAGTTCAAGTCTCAGGAAAATAAAGTAACCTCACAAATTACATTTGAAGGCTTAGATAAGTACATTTGTCTTGTCTTTTTCTAGCCTGGAAAGTAAAACTGAAAGCAACATTCCACATCATCAAAATCATTCTTTCAGCTACTATGAGCAGTGTCATATCATCCTCTCTTAAAACTAATTGCTTTCATGTAAGAAAAAACTCCAAACAAGCCCAGCATTTTATCACCACCGGTCCTGTTTGGAGGATACTCCAGCATTCACTATCCTACTGATCAGCAATCTTCTAGCTCCAGCATGAATTTAACAGATACTTTGTGCTGGAAGAAATTCACTCTCCCCAATCATAAGCGTAAGCCACAATTGGACCTAAGCTTGCCCAGCAGAAACTGATACTCAAATATAAAAAAAAAAATCACCACCACCACTTAGGCATAACTGCTAAATCCTCCCTAGTCCCAAGAGATTTCCCACTGCACTCACCTTTGGGTGACGCTGTAGGAACCTTGCTGCCTCCTCAAAGTACTCAAGTTTTAAGTCTTTCAAGATCCTAGGAAGATCTTCAAAGTCAAAATATGGCAGAGAAAGAGCAGCAAAACCATGAGTAGCCAGGAGACTGGATCTAAATTCAATCAAGCCTCCTTCATCACCATACATGTCAATCACTCCTGGAAAGGGACCATCCCCTATATTAAAGAGAAGAGTTACAGAGGAAAAGTTATCAAACAGGACACAAAAAACTATCTGGTGAAGAGTAAACAACAAAATGCTTAAGACATTTGCTATTAATAGTCATATAAGACATTAGCTATTAATAGTCATTATTTTTCCATTTGCACAGCAGAGATTTAAGAGAACCAGTGCTATGTCCCTCTCCAGCTATTTCAAACTAAGAATAGGTCCAAGTCCTTACATTCCTGTAAAAATATATGAAGTTACAGGTTTCACTTTTTAAAAGAAAAAACAAAAAAAAAAATCAACCAACAAAAACCCCAAAACAAACAAACAAAAAAACACAACAAAAAATAATTAACAGTTCTAAATGTATTTTTCCATGGTCTTAACCTCCTGCCCTCAGACCAATCATACACCAAGTCAGCTATTTTCCCACAAAGTCACTTCTTAATTAGCAAAGTGCAAGCTCATGAGTAATGAGGCAAGAGCACTGAGCCCTTGAAGTAAATTCTACAAAACTTTCATAAACTCTGAAATAAACTGCATTGAGCAAAGCCCAACAAAGATAACCCATTGTTAAAGCCAACTGGACTTACTTGCTCTCTCTCAAGCTCAGCACTGTGAACCTTGGCAGGAGAGCTGCTCCTGCAGACATGACGAGACAGAAGGCCAAACTGAGAGCTGTGGGTGCGGCTGTGTGTGCAGGATGATGTACAGATAAACGTGCACATACATGTGCACAGTCTGTCCCACCAAACTACACAAATAATCAGAACCACAATTTTTAACAGCTGTGCTTTTGCAGCCAAGGTCATGTAAAATACCTGTATGCCAAGCCAGGAGATCTTAGGTTAAAAGGCTAAAGATGCTACTTAATGGAGCTTTAAAGACCCCAAGCAAGCTAATTTTTTATTTTTTTTCCCCTTGGCCACCAGATGTCACGTCTTATGTGTCCTGATCCAGCTCACTACCACCATCTCAGTACAAAGAGGACACACTTGTTGCAAGAGTGTGTTAATTCTCTGACACTACTTGTATGTGCTAAAGAAAAGGTCTCTGGCATTTCAACACACTGGAGAAAAGGAAGTTTTCTTCCTTTTCCTTTTAGCATGTCCTTCCTAGACATGTTAAATGGTGGAAACCTCCCAAATTAAAGCATTAAGAAGTCAGAAAGGGACTGAAACTTGCTTCTGGGTTCTTACTCGTTCAGTTCTGATCTTTTTTTTATTGAAGTTCAATATTCTACTTGAGAGAAAACAAGTTGGGATAAATTTATTATAATGCTATGGTCAGCAGTAACCTTTATTTAGCAGCAACCAGCCTATATGGCAAGAAAATACGTATTTAATCATCACTCCTACCTGGAAAGCTTTCTAGCAAGAGCATGTAATCAGAACATAGTCATAGATGAATGTGTTTCTCTCTCATGAAGACACCCTTTAACTTGCACAAGGATCCTGGACTGCTTCTTTGAGTGCCTACACATGCCCAAGTATATGGGTCCTGCAGAGCTCACTAAAAAGCAGGATAAAATGGGCTAGACAACTTTACCAACATTTAAAAACAAACAAACCTCCACATCTTTAACTCTTATTCCTAAATTGAGAAATCGCTTTCATATTAAAATTACATCCTAAGCCCGCTCGTCCTCTCACTTTTAATAAGAATGATAAGAATGGTTCACATTTAAGATTCCTATCTTTAAAATATTAACTTTTTTTGTCCCTGGAGCAAAGAAGGGTATGGTCATAATGCTGTAACTGGATCCTCCATCATGAGGGATGGCAACATCATTTAAGCAATGATTCCAGACTTTTCAACACTGTTACAATGCCAGAGTTTCTAAATGGGAAATTGCAGTTTCATCTTGCAGATGTCTGGATTCCCACTGAGCTCAGCAGAAATCAAACTCATCCTCTAAGGCAGGATAGATCAAAACAATGTCTCAGAGATGGAAAATCCAGCATGCTGACTAAACATCTGAAATTCAAAGTTCAATCTCTGTTGTTTTTTTCCTCAGTGGACTTTGGATCCGTATCTAAATGGATGAAAAAAATCATTGGTTTGGAATGAAAATACTTAAATACTTAATAACTATAGTGATACTTACAGGAGTTGCTGAACCAAGTAGTTTTAAATTATAGGCAATGTGGAGGGCAGTTTCAGTACCCACAACACTCAGGGAACTACAAGAAGTTTAACTCATAGCTCAAGCGTACAAACACATCACTGGTGTAAGGTTTCATTTTCCAACACCACTCACAGACCATCAGAATATCACACCTCATAAAGCACAACCATCTCATAAGCAGAATAGGCAGAACTTAATCATAAATCCATTTTGGTTTTATACCACAAAAGTAACCCAACTACTAACTGTAGTAACTCTGTAGGAACAGAGGTTATTTTTTAGAATTTCATCTGCCGCTCTGCTTCCTGGCTTGTGTTTCAAAGCGAAGAAGAATACCTTTTAAATTCAGTCCTATTTAGGGTAAAATCCTTGGGACATTCAGCACAGGCTCACACAATGAAGTGCATCAGCTTTTCTGGATGTTAGATTCTGGTACTCCAGAGCAAACATAAAACCTACTGAAAAACCACAGGCTGAGCGCAGCAACGAAGTAAACTCTACATCCCCTGTTCTCCTTTAGCTCTCCCGCAAGAGCCGCCTCCCCGCGCCCGCCCTGCTCGGTGCCGCCGAGAAGGAGCAGGCGGGGCGGCCACGCGCAAGCCGGGCCCTGTCGCGACAAGCACTTGGGATATCTTAAGAGTTCAGGGCCACCTGTCTGCAGGGCAGCGTTCGGCTGTTGGGGAATGAGGATTCCCCGGGTGACAGCCTCTGCAAGGGTTTATTTTACGAGATTTTCCTTGCTCTGGTCCGAGAAGGCGGGGGCTTCCCGCCGGCCTCGGAGCGAAGGTCTCGGGCCGGGGCACTCACCCGGCGGCAGGAAAAGAGAGCCCCTTACGACTCCTTCCTTCAGCCGGATCCTTCGCACGCCGGGGGCTGTGAACAACCTCTGCACCTCGGCCTTGGCCATCACGGGCCCGGGCATGGAGCCGGGGAGGCTGTGGCCCTGGTGGACCAACACCTCCACCTTCATCGGGGCGCTGGTGTTGCGGGGAACGAGCCGCTGGTACGGCCTCTCCATGCCGGCGGGGGCCAGGCTCCAAAAGAGCCCCATGGGCTCCACGCCGGTGTAGTCCCCGCCGTGGGAGGCGTCCGTGCCCAGGTGCAGCTCCCCGCGACTGTCCGCCCGGTAGTGCGCGCACGACTGGAAGAGGCAGCCGCGCTCATCGGCCGCCACCGCCCGCAGGGTCACCGGCTGCCCCGGGCTCAGCCCCGCCACCCGCGTCTCTACCCGCTCGTCCGCCGGCCCGGCGGCGGGGGACACGGCCAGGCTGGCAGCCCGTCGGGCCGGCGGGGTGCGCAGCAGGGCCCGCGCCGGGGCGGCGGCGGCAGCCAGCGCTCTCCACATGGCGGCGGCAGTGGCGGGTGCGCGGTGTGGCCGCGCCGCCCGCAATATCGGTACCGCGGCCGCCGCCCCTTCCAGGCGTCCCCAATAGAGAGCAGAGCCCCTCCCCGCCCCCCAGCCCCGCAAGGCCGCCAGCCCCGGGCCGCTCCCGCCTCCCCCAAACCATCCAACTGACTGGAGCAGCGAGCCGTGGGCATCGGTTAAAGTTTCACTTTAATCCATTACAAGTACAGTGGATACCAAACGCGCAAATGGGCCTGACGCACAGGCAACAGCAGAGGCCGCATGCGGGCTGCAGGCACCGCCGGGTACATGTTCGGCGACACAGTGCAACTGCCCCGGCAACTCCCACCGTCTTCTCCTTCAACCCCACACTTGGCTGCACAAAACTACTGCCGATCCCGGCGGGGCTGGGCGCTCACCCGGCTGCGCAGAGAGCAGCGGGCGTGCAGCCGGAGCCCCGCTCCGCCACAGCGGGCCGGCCGCCTCAGGCCCCCTCCAGGCCGCCTCACGGAGCCGCCGCCGGGCTGTTCTCAGCAGCCCTTAGGAGCAGGCAGCTGAGACGGCATTTGGGGAATGTACAGGCAGGCAGCTCCGACAGTGCTGCGTATCTCCACAGCGATACCCAGCCGTGCTGAGGAGACAGCTGGAAGCGACTCCAGGATGACAACTAACAGGACCTGTTCTGTTGTTTCTTCACGCTTATGAACTCCCAATGACTGTTTAAATGTCTCATTTCTACTGCATGCTTTCAAAACATCACATCAAGCTATGGGCTCGTTTGTTGCCTATAAATGTGAAGTGTTACCTGAGGGTGCTGGCACAGTAGTACTGCTTTTGGTAAGTGAAATATTAGATATTTTTAAGGCATTTTATTTTTAAGGCATTTTATTTTTAAGGCTTTTTCGTGGTTTGAGAGAAGGGCAAGGAGCAACAAAGGAGGGAGAAGTGCACAGGGAGAACAGAAACATTACTGAAGGCAGATTACTGCCTCCAGAAAAACTGGAATACTGGAACTAGAACACAAAGCTGGGCATCGGCATACATCTCCTCTGACAAGGCCAAGGCATGTTTTCATGCTGGTTCTCAGCTTGGATGAGTTACCTACCACTTCAATTCACACTCAAAGCACACAGCCTTACCACCGTTTGTTTTCCCCAGCTTATAACCCTGTACTACATAGAACAGGAGGCCAAGGCCTCTAACCAAGATTAGAGGAGTGTATAAAAAGGAAGCTGCTTTCTTGCTTTCACCAACCATCACCCTCCAAGAAACCTAATAGCTTATTCTCTGATGTTCCTTGTTCTCATTCTGAGCCATTTAACAAAACAGTTTAACAGAACATTTAACAAAACCAGCATCTTCATCTGTAAAGTAACCTAATTCATATCAGAGCTTACTGGATGTTCCAGATGGCTCGCCTGTGAGGTGTTTACGAAAGAAAGCTTGGATCTGCTGCCAAGCATCTATCTGTGCCTCACAGTGTGCCTTGGGCTCCCCTCCCCACATCACAGGCTTGCCAAATAGCAGGTGCATTGAGGCTGCACACATCGGGAAAAAGGGAGGTTCAATGTAGTGTCCTGCTCCAGGATAACAGACTATCTCAGGCTTTTCCTTCCCATGAGCTTGCAAACGTTTGCTCCCCTCAACTGCAAAGAATTCACTTTTCCAGTTGTGATCATCCTGGCCAACAATAAACAGGAAGCAACACTGAGCCTTCTCCAAAGGGATAAAGCTTTGCTGGTCAGGCCCTTCTAGTGGGCTGTTCAATACATCAATAATATCAGCAATCCCGGACTTGCTGACCTTGATGCGTTTTGGATTGATCCCAAGGGGTGGAATGGTGATGTCCTTGTAGCGGAGCACCGCACCCACGTTTGCCACTGAGCCGTTGATAAGGGCAGTGGCTGTGATGCCCTTTAGGAAGGAGGCCATGGAGACACACAGGTCACCCCCCTTTGAGTGTCCAAGCAAACCAATTCCTGGACCTTTAACCTGCAGGTGAGAGAAGAGAAACCAGAAGCAATGAACCATGGCATGCTACTTCTTTAATATATTGCCATGTTTGCAGCTGTGTCTGTCCTAAATTTGGACCCCACATACAGGCATCTGAGATTCTGTGTAAAGGGCCCATGTCTGAAGGATCCTAGGCACTGTTCTGTGCTTGATTTATGATCCTAAGCCCTACTGAGACTCCAGCATCATCCTAACAAAATGACAAGGTTCAGTGCTGAAGCAGAGTACAGCTGTGCTTGCAAATGTGCAGTCCCAGATTCCCTTTATTTATTATGCAGTTAATAGAAGAAGAGGGCAAGTGCAGGGGAGGCCTCCTCTGCAGTTGCTTTCTTTCAGTGCAAAATGCTCAAAGCCAGCAATCATTATGATATTGTCATCACTTATGTTAATGTATTTCTTATATTCAAGGTTCCCCTATTAAGAAGCTGACGTGGGGCAGCAGGCTCCACATGAGCTGCTCTCCTGCTTCTCTAGAATGTTTGGTATCTAACTCACAGGAAGTAGTCTGAGGTAGCTTATTCATTAAAATTCATCTTAAAAATATAACCTATTAAAACCATTTTTCTAGGGGAATTGTACAGTCCCCTGGAGTCAGTCTAGACTAGGTTACCTTTATTTTCTTTTACACAAGGCAAATTAACTAGAATAGGAAAGTTAAATGACCTTACTGGGTGCTGAAATCCTGTAAGGATACTGGAAGAGGGTTAGCTAATACCACAACTCTTCAATATCCAAAGACTCTCAGGAGCAAATAGGCTCTGAGACAGCATCAGAATCCAATACCTTCTGTGTCTTATCACCAGTGTAACAGGCTTCAAACCCACTAACTTTGAAATATGGGAAGGAAGAAATTAGAAAATATGGCTGAAACTTTGCAACATATTAAAAACACTGAGAATAGCAGTGGAGGTGTTAATGAGAGGCAATGGTACTGTACTGCTCTCAAGGGAAAAAAAATGCAGGGTGAAGCAATTTTCAGATTTTTTTGGGGCAGAAAAGTGCCATGAGCAGTTAAGGTTAAGGTAACTAAAAAGCAGACAAGACCTTTAAGAACTACTCATCTTTCTGAGGTTGAGGAAGGTATTTATTTTCATTCTCCAGAGAAACCAAGTGTTGGTTTGTGCAATTCTAGCTACTTTCACTCACAGCTACTTATAAGGAGATGCAGAATTGAGCAGGGCTGTCTTCCAAGAGGTGCTGAATTAGAAGGACCCCTAAGTGCATAACTAGCTATTAAAACCCATACTTATGAAATACCAACATTTGGAGTGATTTTAAGAGTTTATAAAATACACAGCATCAAATGTGTATCGGTGGCCTTCCTTGAGTTTCCTTGGTTTCCCTGAGATCTGGATCACAGAAGGCTATCATGTGCTCCACAGCTGAAAAGGACATTTAGTTCTGAAGGACATTCTACAGAGCTTAAATCTGAAATCCCCACTGCAAGTCCAGTAAGCCTCCAGGAAACTAGCACCCTAGTTATGACACTGGCTTGAATGGAGTAGAAATTACCAGTATGTGACCAATGTGTCATTGTTTCACTTGGGCAGCTCAAAAGGAAGAGATGGAATAATCTGCCAGAGAGCCATTTTAATGGGAGTTAAAGATATAAAACAATAACAGCCAACTCAACAGCAATGCTATTTTAAGTACAGCAGCTCTGCCCCATCTGTAGTCTGACAGGACCTAACTGATGAGAGTTCGCTGTAGTGAGAGTCAATGAACAAACTAACCTGGGTGTGGTGTAACATATAGTTTACAGCTTCTTCAAAATATTCCAGGTGGAATTCCTTCATCCCTTTGGGGAGATCTTCATAGCTGTAGAAAGCCAGAGCCAGCACAGCAAAGCCATGGTTGGCCAGCAGGCATGCCCTGTATTCAGGGAGTCCTCCTCCAGTTCCATACAAGTCAATAATTCCTGGAAAGGGGCCACTTCCTGAGAGAGACCACATAACAGGACACATTAACCCACAATTTTTAATTTATATTCCAAATTCATAGGCCTTGGAATGTGTCTTAAAAAAAAAAAAAAAAAAGAAAAAATACAGCAGCAGAATGGTATTAATGGTATTGAGGGTCCTAAATTACTGTGACAGTTTTAATGAAGTGGCTACATTGCTTCAAGATTAAACAAACTAGCACAAATTAGCAGGTCTGCTAATGTTTTAGATAACATCAGGAAACAGGCAGCTGGAAGAGAAGGGATCTTTTTACAGTCACAATTAGTTCTCTGTATCATGTAAATTCACTGCAAATGTATTAAGCTCTGCTTCAAAAAAAACCCAGCAGGCTTTTCCTTAGTGTGTTTCTCAGAAGGCTGATCCAAAAAAAATCTCATCTTCTGATGGTTCCATCTTCTCAATTTTAGTGTAAATGCACCTCAGTCATTTATTCTGGGATTAAGAGAAGAAAGTATTTGAAACCAGCCTTGCTTACCTGGTAAAGGAAGCATTACATTAGGTTCATCATGGGACAGGGACTGAAGTCCAGAGCTGAGATTGATTGCTGCAAAGTACTAACCAAGTATGGAAAGGAGGTGGTCAAGAGGGAGACTTCCATTCCTGCTCAGGAAGGAGGGTAAGGCTTCCCTTAAGTGTCTGCAGACTACCATCAAACGTATGTAACAAGCAAGAACTTGAAATTCACCTCCGGCTTCAAGGAGACAGATGAAGTCAGAGCCTAAGGCACTGGCTAGCACAGCACATATGATTTTAGAACTCTCATGAAAGAGTTATCTGGGACAGACAGGAAAGAAAGGAGAGAGGGGAAGGCACGTGATACAGAGAGGAGCTCCTTGGGGTTCAGAGATATGCTTGGTGAAAACCTCTGTATCATGGGGGGGAGGAAAGGTGGAATGCTGTGGGGGTGTGGCTACTGCAGAACCAAGGGAATGCAAGAGATGATGTTTCCTACAGAAAACGAGCAGAAATCTGGACAGGTGATGGAAGGATAACAGAGCATTTGTCAGGCAATCTGAAAAACTCACAGGCCCTTTCCATTATTTTCTGACAAAAATACTGCCAGGGCAAGTCTCTCCAATGTTTTCCTTGACCTGCTCACAAACAGGGAAGAACTGGGGACAAATGTGGCAGCAAAAGGCAACTTGGGCTACAGCAATTAGGACATTACTAAGTTCAGGATGTGTGGAGAGGCTGGAAAGGGAAGCCACAGATTTAAACTCCTCAGTTTAGGAGAACATCTTCCACTTACTCAAAAGAATTACCACCTGATTTTCCTGGAAAACAGCAAGGTGCAGGAAAAGTGCCTTGAAAACTGGCTGACTCCACCTCCCATGGCATTTGGGAACAAAAAGTGTACTGTGATCAATGTCTTCATGTCCAGTAGAAGTCAGATAAACAGACACACGTGCTTCACCACATGAGGCTGCTCCGTGTGAGGAGTACGGCCAGCAGATCAAATCTGGTCGGGCTGATCAGGCCACGCCTTGAGGAGTGTCCAATCCCTACTGGCGAGACGCAGCTCCCCCTTGTCCTCTGCCGGGTCGGCAGCGCTAGGGGAGTCCAGAGGCGGTCTGCCTCCGGACCTGCGAGAGCGGGGCCGAAAGTAGAGGGTGCAGCGTGGGGGAGGGAGCCCGGCATGGCCGGTACTCACCGGGGGGCAGGAAAAGTGTCGCCCGGATCCTCCCTTCTCGCACCGGCACTCTCCGCACCCCGTCCCGCAGGAACGCCCGCTCGTGCTGCGCCTGGGCCAGGAGCCGCCCGTGGCGCTCCCCGTGGCCCTCAAACACCTCCAGCTGCAGGAGGAAGGGGCTCTGCACGTCCCGCTTTACCAGCCGCCAGAAAGGCTTCTGGGGCTGCAAAGCCCAGAGCAGCCCCATGGGCTCCAGGCCGGAGAAGCTGCCTCCCGGCAGCGCAGGACAGCGGGCGAGGTCCAGCTCCCCGTCGTCGCCCGCCTGGTAGAGGGCACTGGCCTGGAAGAGCTCTCCGGTCTCGTCCCGCAAGGACGTCCGCAGAGTGACCTGCTGCCGCGGGCCCAGGCCCTGCACGGCGATGGCCAGCGGCTGATCGAAGAGGCTGCGGGCGGCGGGCGACAGGCGGATGGAGGGGGCCATGGAGGAGAGTCCCTGGGCGGGGGCTGTCCCGGGGCTCCACGTGGGGCCGCGGCTCCGTGGGGCTGCAGGCGCGGGGCCGGGCCAGGGCAGCCGCCTGGCGCGGGAGCTGGCCCGGCACAGGGAGCGGGCACTGACCTGCCACATGGCTCCGGATCGCTCCCGCCTCTGGGGGCGGATTCTGGGGCAGATCCTCACGATACCAGGGCCGGGCTGGGCCCTGGAGTGCCGCTGGCACGCCCCGGAGGGGAGGAGCGGGGCGGCAGCTCCCTTGTCCCGCCCGCCTGCTTCCTTCCTGCCTGCCTGCGGCCCTGCGGGTTTCTGCCTCCCTACTTCTCTGAATGCCTGCTTCCTCTTCTGTCTTCCCCCCGCTGCCTTCCCCGGCTGTGGGAGGCTTCATCCAAACGCTGCCGAGTCCTTGAACCCCGTCTGGGCCTCGGCGAGCTCCTCGGTGTCCCACCGAGCTCTCCCGGGTCGGGCGGTGGCTGCGGGCAGGAGACGAGCCACCGAGCAGAATCGCAGTCGGAATTCACTGGAGGGAAGGGCCGGTGTGAGACAGATCGTACAGATGGGACAGCTCTGCACGGCACGGCCAAGGGACCGCAGCGAGGGCCAGCTCCAGGTCAAAAAGACCTCCTCCAGCTCCAGCCGAGGCGGGGAGAATCCACACCAGCACTAGCTCACCATTGCTTCTTTTCTCCTTGCCGGCTCTGCTTCTCTGTTCGTTACCTCAAGGCATGGGCAAGGTGGGTTATGTCTCCACCAGGCTCTGCCTGGCCTAGGCAGCTGCACAGCCAGGTGTGTTAGGAAGGATGGTCAGGGTGCTCAGGGATGCAGGAGCAATAAGGGAGGAGCACTTTCTCAGACTATTTAGGTAGGTCAGGAAGCATGTGGCTCTTCTAGTAATGGATTGTACAAGGATTTAAAAAACAGGGTCATTCAGTCCATCTTAGGCAGAGATGGGTCTTCTGATCCAAAAGGAACTGCAGAGGGAGAGCCGTTTCCTGAAGCTCCCACTCTTCCTGGAAGATGCTGGCAGGGATGCCTTGTGCTCTGAGCTCCTCGTGCCTGTCTTAGAGGTGTGAAAGTAGAAGCATCTAAGGGAATCTTACATTGCCCTAATTGGAAATACTAAGTGGTCAGAGATATTGGGCACTGTTTCATTCACCATGGAAATTAGCCTTTCTCTCCAAACAGGTGAGGTGTTCTGTCATCTAGCATTTGGGTATGTTGTCTGGTGCCCTGAATGTGTGGCAACTATTCCTCTTGTTGAGAGCAACACTCTGTGGCTTACACTATTGGATTTGATCATGGGTTTGACCATATGCGGGAGCAGATGTTAAGGGTCCTGGAGGCTTCAGCAAAATTCCTTCTCCTCCATGCTTGGTGACACAGGAGCTGTGGAATAGAGTGAAGGTAAGGGGACTAAGTGTTCATCTTCCATGGTCTCCTGTTCCCACCTGGGTAACCTTTGATCCCAAGCTGCTGCAAGTTTTCTTAAGCCTTTACCCTGGGATGAGAAGGTAGTCAAGCTGCAAAGCCTGCTTCTAACCAAAGCACAGCAAAAGACTCCATGGCTTTCAAATCTCAGTCTCTTTATTACAATTCTCATCCCAGTAATAAAGATTAAAATGTTCCACATCATGTAGGAGAAGATCAAAATGGCTGTAAATTCAACAGAAAGTTTTTTTGCATGATATCTTGGGGCCAGACATATCCACAAGCCAGAGCACTTCTTTGGAAGGGAAGATGGAAAGAAAGCACAAAAGGCAAACAACCTTTCCCAAGGCTTAACCAGAGAGAGCCCAGCATCCTGGCCATAGCAGCCATTCTTACACACTTCCAGCAGCACAGAGGTCAGAGACGTTTCCATTGCAATGACACAGTCACCAGAAGAGCAGTGAAATCTCTGCTCCAAAACTGTCATTAGAGACAATTAGTATGACCTGAGGATAGCATATTCATGTAGAGACCACAGTGACATGGAAAGCACTGTCAAGTATTAGAGGAATAGAAACCACCCAAGAAACATAGCTCTGCATTTTGCACATGACCTGTTTTATCAAAGACTAATGCAAAAACCACCATTCCTTTTCTGGACACTTGAGCAAAAAGGTTGAGAGTGGGACAGAAAAGGCAAACCCATTTATTTTCTGTGTTATGGATATGCAAAGGTATAGTTGATACTGTAGTTGTACTGGTACAGCTGTGACAAAGGTTTGACCTCATAACTGCAGTAGAATTTATCAGATCTGGTTGTTCAAAATTGTGTGTTGCTTGCACATTATTTGTTGCACATTAGTTAACAATTAAATACTTTTTGAAAAATGCCTGGATCTGTGACCAAGCATGAACCTGAGCTTTAGAATAAGCCCTGAGCTCTCCACCCAGGACTGCTTGCTTGTGAAAAACAGGGTGGCTTCCTGTGTGGTACAAAGGGAAAAAGGGTGGGTCTATGCAGTGCCCTGTTCCAGGGTAGGAGAGAATCTGAAAATTTTCCTTCCCTTGAGCTTGCAGAAGCTTGCAGACTTCAGTAGCATAATACTCACTTTTGACAACACGGTCATCTTGGCCCACCATGAATAGAAACTGTGCCTCACCTTTCTCTAGTGGGATCCGGCTTTGGTTGCCAGGGGCTTGAAAGGGATCATCAATGACATCAGAATAATCAAGAAATTTGGAATTGGTGGCCTTGGCTTTGTGTTCATATAAGGTCACAGTGGGGATGATTTTATCTTTGTAAGAGAGAGGAATCAATGTAACAGCAACAGGGGCATTGAGGGATGCAACAGCCAAGATGTTCTTCAGGAAGGCAGCCATGGCAAGGGACACTTCGGCTCCTTTGGAGAAACCAAGCAGGCCAACCCCTGGACCCTTCACCTGGGAGATAGGAGGAAATGCTCATCAGTGCTCAGCTGAAAAGCACAACAGCTGATTCATGAATGGGCAAGATTGTCTAATGCTGAGAGTTTGCAAAACCACATGAAGAAAGTCATGGCAACGATTACTTTTCCTTCTGGACAAATGACAGGCATACCCTCCCACACCCCCTATACTTCCTCCTCACACTGTACTTCAAACCACTCATATGCAGAATATTCCCTGGTATTCTGAAATCAGCCAGGAGTGGGGAGACATGATTTCATCCATCTGGGGACAGCTTGTAGGTCATAGCTATGAATTATTTGTCTTATACCCTGGTAGATGCTCTTTACTTTTCACTCTTTAAACTGTAGGAGGACATTTGGTGGCAACTCATGAAGGCTTTCTCCTGCACACACTTCCCACTTGGTTACATCTGATCTGTCTCTTGTGATGTTGCTTTGTGATCTCTCTCCACCCCCCTTCCAGAGCATGTATACTTGCCCCTTCTCTTTCCTAGAACTCAGACACCCAAAATCCTTGCAAAGGCCAGCCCTGCCAGGTGAGTATTTCTGCAGCTTCCTCCAAAGATGACTTGAGCAAAGTGAGAGGACTTTACAGGAGCAGTTCCTGGAACCCAGAGCAAATGGGTGTTCCTACCTGTGGGTGCTGCAGCATATAGTTCACTGCCTCTTCAAAATATTCCAGGTGGAGTTCCTTTGGTTCCTGGGGCAGATCCTCAAATTGATAATAAGCCAGGGCGAGTGTGGCAAAGCCATGATTAGCCAGCAGGCTTGCTCTGGGCTCAAAAAGACCTCCTCCAAGTCCATGTATATCAATGACCCCTGGAAAGGTGTCTTCTCCTGGAGCAAACAAGACAAAGATCAGAATTGCCTGAAATGACTCCTTTCAATGTTTCTCTGGTTTGGAATGCATCAAACGTGGTACAAAACAGGAACTGCAGAAAAGCTTCTTTTGGGGAAAAGATGCTATCAGTCAGCTGTGCAGTGTCAGCACCTGAAAAAATTTTAGAGTGTGTTGTAGAGGAAAAAAGTGCAGGAGCAGAACCTCTTAGGTAAAGTGCAAACCTTTATTTGTTTTAGGAATCAGCAGTACTGTGCATTGTGCTTAGGGCCAACAGGAGGAGAGTCTTTGGTAAAAGAATTTTGTTTCAAATTCTCTTCCTGTAAGCAGCCCTGTAACAAGTGCTTCATCTACCACTATGAAAATCCTCAAGGTATCATGGTTTGATAGATGCAATGCAAACTAGAAACTTTAAGCTTTTTTCTTTGTATTGTGGTTTTTTAATACTTGGGATCCCTTGAAAAGCTGTAAGTCACCCAAACCAGTATACTTTGTTTCTTTGCAAGTCATATCTGGCAGCAGTCAGTATCAAATTCTGCACAGGATGCCACAGGTACCTCAGTGGGTGATCAGCAGATATCTGGATCTTTCTTGGTCCAGGATGCTCTTTTCCTCATCCTGGGAGAATCCCAAACCTGTCCAGCCAGTGCAGGGAAAGAGAATGCTTTGCATGTTGCATTCCTCCAGCCTGATTTGTTTTGGGACTGCAACATGCAGGAAAGCTCCACAAGCCGCAGGCCAGAGAAGGTGACCCTGGACCTGTTGGGAAGTGAAGAAGACCTAACTCACACCTACTTCTGGCTTCAGGAGAGCCACAGGCCTGAGTGGGCTCATGCCTCCCACCCTTTGAGGATGCCCTTCTTCCACAGTCTCAGACCCTGCACCAGTGGCTTGTGCATCCGCAGATAAGGCTGCAGGTGGAAGGTGGGAATGTGCTGTGGAGTGTCACAGAGGTGAGGAGAGAGAGAGCACAGCATCTCTTCACTCTCTACCTTGGACCAAGGAGAGCCCTGCCGTCAAAAGTGCTGCGCTCTTCCTTCTGTGGCTGTTTGCATGCAGGCAACAGCACATCTTCTGGCTCTTCACAGGCTCTGAGCACTCAGAGCAGTGGCTGTGTGGCCAGGGGCCAGGAGTGCAGTTGTCTGTGGCCCATGGCTCAGCTGAGTGTGGCAGGGCTCTGTGGACTTGCACTGAACAAACCCAGAAAAGGTGGTACAGCTGAATAAGGCCATGGGGGTGCTCAAGGGAGGTGCGACAGTACTGTAGCAAAAGCCCTTTGAGCTCTCTGCCTCTGCATGGCCTTAAGTCATTTGCTGAGGAGTATCCAACTCCTGAATCTGAATGTGGAGATGTGTGGTGTAGAGAGCAGGCTCGGGAAATGAACATCATTGTGAGGTATCTCAGTGCAGGACAATTTGAGTGTGGTGAAATCATGGTTGTGAAACACATCTCCAAAGAGAACTAAGAAAAATACTGGCTACAGACTGAGCTTGCAGTCTTGCTAAGTTGAAGCTTGTTTGTGGTGGCAGTAGGATGGGGATAAATGCTTTTTATCCTGTGCCTAGGAAACAACTCGAAGTGCCTATGAAACAATTCAAAGTGCCAGACAATGTGTGGCAAGGGCTTATAATGTTAAAAGACAGGCAAAAGGTGGAGGTCAGGGGACTCGGAGGAAATGCACTAACATTTGACTTACTGAAAGTGCCTCAGCTCAGGGGAAGTGGGACATTTTGGAGATAAAGTGTATGCAGGTGGCTTCTTCCCTCTCCTGGTCAGCAGGTGGGGGTATAGGTGAGGCAGAGGAGGGACTTCTGGCCTTGTTGTGGGCGGGATGCTAAGTCTGTGAAATCAGCCTGCCCACACCCTGGACTCTGACAGGAAAGTCTTGGTGTAGCTGCCCAGAAGATGCTGGAGACAGGTGGTGTCTTGGGCAATCCTTACATCTCAGAAAGGTGCTCTGCACCTTTTCCGGAGCAATTAGATAATTGTCTTTTCCTGCTTGAAAGATTTATTCCCTGTAAATGTTCTTGAGCCCCTCGTCTTCCCTCTTTCACAAACTGATGATGCTTACCCCAATATTTTTTTTTTTTTAACCTCAAGCCCCGAATAAGAATGGTTTTTCCTCTCCCTTCTGCAACTGTGTCCTGGCACATGCATGGGCTGGTGAATTGGGAAGCATGGTCAGGCTGGTCAGTGGCATGGGAGGGGGGAGGGAAGGATGGGGGAAAGGACATGGGGCTTTAATGGACTCCACAGAGGTCATGGAACAACTTTCACCAACAAAACACCAGTTTAGAGAAAGCAGGACGGCTGCAGTTGGTACTCACCGGGGGGCAGGAAAAGCGTCGCCCGGATCCTCCCTTCTCGCACCGGCACTCTCCGCACCCCGTCCCGCAGGAACGCCCGCTCGTGCTGCGCCTGGGCCAGGAGCCGCCCGTGGCGCTCCCCGTGGCCCTCAAACACCTCCAGCTGCAGGAGGAAGGGGCTCTGCACGTCCCGCTTTACCAGCCGCCAGAAAGGCTTCTGGGGCTGCAAAGCCCAGAGCAGCCCCATGGGCTCCAGGCCGGAGAAGCTGCCTCCCGGCAGCGCAGGACAGCGGGCGAGGTCCAGCTCCCCGTCGTCGCCCGCCTGGTAGAGGGCACTGGCCTGGAAGAGCTCTCCGGTCTCGTCCCGCAAGGACGTCCGCAGAGTGACCTGCTGCCGCGGGCCCAGGCCCTGCACGGCGATGGCCAGCGGCTGATCGAAGAGACTGCGGGCGGCGGGCGACAGGCGGATGGAGGGGGCCATGGAGGAAAGTCTCTGAGCGGGGGCTGTCCCGGGGCTCCACGTGGGGACGCGGCTCCGTGGGGCTGCACGCGCGGGGCCGGGCCAGGGCAGCCGCCTCTGCCAGGCGCGGGAGCTGGCCCGGCACAGGGAGCGGGCACTGACCTGCCACATGGCTCCGGAGTTGTTGAGTCCACTGTCTGCATTCAAGTTGAGGCTTCTTTTATAAATGCAGTTTCCTACACATAGGCGGGGGTGGGGGGAATTTAAGCAGGAATGGTGTGGATCCACATGTGCTGGGAGACGCCAGATTTGCCTGGAGCTGTTGCTGCATCCCTGCCAGCACCCACGGCAGGGCAGGATCATCACAGCCGATCTCCTGACATTGATGGAGCATCTCAGCTCAAAGAAGAGAAAGCTCCAGGGACACCTTATTGCCACCTTTCAGTACCTGAAGGAGGCCTGTAAGATGGAGACAAATTTGTTAGGAGAACAGTAGTTTTAAACTATAAGACAGTTGATACAGATTAGACATAAGGTAGAAGTTTTTTACAATGAGGGTAGTAAAACAATGTCCCAGGTTGCCCAGAGAGGTGATGGATGTCCCATGCTTGGAAACATCCAAGACCAGGTTGGACAGGGCTCTCAGCAATCTGATCTAGTTGAAGATGTTCTTGCTTATTGCAGGGGGGTCGGACTATATGACATTTAAGGTCCCTTTCAACCTGAACTATTCTATGATACTAAGATCTCCAAAAGGCTCTCTCCAGACGCTTGTTCATGCATAGTGTGCTTATCTGCTGTGGTCAAAGTTCTCTACAGCAGGCCTGCTGGACTGGACACAGACACAGCTGCATCCCTCCTTCCTGGGTTTCTCCTGTAGGCTCTTTTTTCCTCAAACTCAGCCAAGCTGCAGGCCTGGGAACATCTCAGGCAGAGACAGCCCCACCAGCCAGCACTGCTCTTCTGGCATCTCCTGAGACATGCCATTTTGTGTGATGACAACACCTGGCATTGCCATGAGCTACTCGGAGATTTATGTTCCTCCCTCCCTCCTGCTCTATCACATTCCCTTCTAGCCCACGCTCAAATAAAGAATCTTATCCTTGCTAGGGCAGGCCCAGAGGTGTCAGACAGTGCTGCTGATAACATCTGTTATGAAACATGCTGGGCAGGGAAGGGCTACAATGTGGATGCCCAGGTGCTGAAAACATGACAGGACTGAGAGGCAACTGCTGGCTCTGAGGTTTGCCCCAGTGTATCAAGCTGGCCTGGAGGACACCTGCAAAATGGAAAACCCAGGACAGCTGGTTCAGCTTGCATGGGGGGATGGTGTTCACAAAGGAGGTGGCAGCCCTCCAGGTCTGACAGAAATGGTGCTCCCTGGCCCCTGGTTTTGTCCTCGCAAAGTAGTTGTTGGGTGCTGGTGGCAGTTCATGATACACAGGTGTTTTAGAGTGTGTGACTTCTCTGCTGAGGAGGGCAGGAGGCCCTCAAGGCCTTTCCACCAACAGGGCCCTTAATCTAACCTGGGATGGGAGAGTGGTCAAGATGCAAAACCTGCTTACACCAAAACACAACAAATGAATAAATGGCTTTCAAATTTTAGACTCTTGCAATTCTCACCCCAATAACAAAGAAGGCAAACAGACTTTCCCAAGGCTTAACCAGAGAGAGCCCAGCATCCTGGCCATAGCAGCCATTCTTACACACTTCCAGCAGCACAGAGGTCAGAGACGTTTCCATTGCAATGACACAGTCACCAGAAGAGCAGTGAAATCTCTGCTCCAAAACTGTCATTAGAGACAATTAGTATGACCTGAGGATAGCATATTCATGTAGAGACCACAGTGACATGGAAAGCACTGTCAAGTATTAGAGGAATAGAAACCACCCAAGAAACATAGCTCTGCATTTTGCACATGACCTGTTTTATCAAAGACTAATGCAAAAACCACCATTCCTTTTCTGGACACTTGAGCAAAAAGGTTGAGAGTGGGACAGAAAAGGCAAACCCATTTATTTTCTGTGTTATGGATATGCAAAGGTATAGTTGATACTGTAGTTGTACTGGTACAGCTGTGACAAAGGTTTGACCTGCACGGCGGTGGCCAGCGGCTGATCGAAGAGGCTGCGGGCGGTGGGCGACAGGCGGATGGAGGCGGCCATGGAGGAAAGTCCCTGGGCGGGGGCTGTCCCGGGGCTCCACGTGGGGACGCAGCTCCATGGGGCTGCAGGCGTGGGGCCAGGCCAGGGCAGCCGCCTCTGTCAGGCGCAGGAGCTGGCCCGGCACAGGGAGCGGGCACTGACCTGCCACATGGCTCCGGAGTTGTTGTGTATGCTGTCTGCATTCAAGTTGAGGCTTCTTTTATAAATGCAGTTTCCCATGCATAGGTGGGGATGGGGGAATTGGGGCAGGAATGGTGTGGGCACACACGTACTGGAAGATGCCAAGTGTGCCTGGAGCCTTGCTGCACTCCTGCCAGCACCCACGGCAGGGCGGGATCATCACAGCCAATCCCCTGACACAGATGGAGCATCTCAGCCCAAAGAAGAGAAAGCTCCAGGGACAACTTATTGCCACCTTTCAGTACCTGAAGGAGGCCTGTAAAATGAAAAATTTATGAGCAATGTAATGGCTTTAAGATAAAGGACAAATTTTTCTGTTTTATGGATATGCAAAATCATGAAATATACTGTAGTTTTAGAAATATACTGTGGTACAGCTGTGACAAAGGTTTGACCTCATAACTGCAGTAGAATTTATCAGATCTGGTTGTTCAAAATTGTGTGTTGCTTGCACATTATTTGTTGCACATTAGTTAACAATTAAATACTTTTTGAAAAATGCCTGGATCTGTGACCAAGCATGAACCTGAGCTTTAGAATAAGCCCTGAGCTCTCCACCCAGGACTGCTTGCTTGTGAAAAACAGGGTGGCTTCCTGTGTGGTACAAAGGGAAAAAGGGTGGGTCTATGCAGTGCCCTGTTCCAGGGTAGGAGAGAATCTGAAAATTTTCCTTCCCTTGAGCTTGCAGAAGCTTGCAGACTTCAGTAGCATAATACTCACTTTTGACAACACGGTCATCTTGGCCCACCATGAATAGAAACTGTGCCTCACCTTTCTCTAGTGGGATCCGGCTTTGGTTGCCAGGGGCTTGAAAGGGATCATCAATGACATCAGAATAATCAAGAAATTTGGAATTGGTGGCCTTGGCCTTGTTCATATAAGGTCACAGTGGGGATGATTTTATCTTTGTAAGAGAGAGGAATCAATGTAACAGCAACAGGGGCATTGAGGGAAGCAACAGCCAAGATGTTCTTCAGGAAGGCAGCCATGGCAAGGGACACTTCGGCTCCTTTGGAGAAACCAAGCAGGCCAACCCCTGGACCCTTCACCTGGGAGATAGGAGGAAATGCTCATCAGTGCTCAGCTGAAAAGATTCATGGAGGGCAAGATTGTCTAATGCTGAGAGTTTGCAAAACCACACAAAGAATGTGACAGCAATATTTACTTTTTCTTTTAAACAAATGACAGGCATCTCCTACACAAATTTTTTTTTCTATTGTATGTAAAATATTCCCTTATGATAGCCAAGAGAGAACAAGCACAATGACACTATTTGAGCTCTGGTTGCAAGAGAAAAATAAGATTTTTTAGAGCTAATGTGGAAACGTTTTGGTAGTGGGAGGCTGTAAGAGGAGATCAAGGTCCCCCCATATTTGACAGAGACGGTTTCAGCCATCTCAGAGATGTACCTAATGCTGCTCAAAGATGATGAAGAGGTGGTTTTAATTTTCTTTTTATATCTCTCTGTCTACTCTGCTATTTACTGGCAATAAATTAAATTGATCTTCTCTAAGTCAAGTCTGTTTTGCCAGTGATGTTGGGCAAAACATTGATGAATTATTCCCTGTCCTATCTTGACCTGTAAGGTTTCTCTTCTTAGTTTCTCCACCTCTCCTGTTGCTAAAGAGGATTGAAAGAGTGGCTTGGCAGATATCCAGATATCCACCCAGCCAAGGTAAACCTCCCACAGCTGGCTACCAGTAAAGGCTTTTTTCTTCATATTTTTTAGACTAAGGGTTCACATGTGGGCATGTGGTGACAATTCATGAAAGCTGCTTCAAAAAATGCACGTGTCTCCTCTCCACAATGTAGTTGTCTTCTCAGTCACTCTGAGATTGTGGTATCTGAATAGTACCCATGCTCTGAATAGTACCAGTGAATATCTGTTGATCCTTCCCCTTTCCTAGGTGAGCATTCTGGCAGGTGCTAGCTAAACCAGATGAGTATTTCTGCATCTTTTTTGAAAGTGGCAAAGTGACAGGCACTTGTGGGACTGGTGACTCCCCTCCCCACTTTTTGTGCCCCATAGAGATGTTGTGAAACTCAATGGTCCTTGTGTCCTTCAAAAAGATGCTGTTCCTGTGCCCCAAGGGTCTGATTATGAGAGCAAATAAATACTTACTCTCTCAAAACTCTCCTGTCCTGCTCAGCTTCGCTTGGAAAAATTGATGGATATGTTCCCTGTACTTTCATTTGTGTTTCTGCACTGCTTGGAAGCCCATGAAGGGACCATCAGCATGGTCCTTGCCTTACAGCATGCAGAACATTCCCCTCCAATAGCTATGGTGTCGTGACCTCTGGAGGACATGACACTGCCCCATGCCTTTGGTGCCTGTGCTGTGCTGCCTGTACAACAGGGCCTTCAGGCCTGTGCTGCCCTGCACAGAACCCAAGCCCTACAGGAAACACAGCCAGCTCTTCCTTACAGAGACCACAGGCAGCTCCCACCCAGGACCTGAGGTAACACAGCTAACCTGGCCCTGCCCTTATTGAACAGTGCAGAGAGACATTCCCTTGCAAACACTGTTTCTCTTTGACTGTAGATATGCTACATAGAGCTGTTTCCTTATACAGGAATCTTACAATACCATAAAAGACTGAAAGGAGACAATCTCTGCTATGAACCACGTCTGCGTGACATGGGGAAATGCTTCTTTGCTTGGGGTTCTCAGCATCTAAAGGGATGTAAGATTAGTGTTAGCTATAATACATGGCATTTTTAGATACCTTACAAAATATGCTTTTCTTACTGGGATCATAATGGACTACCACCTCCTAGTTAAAAAAATTTGGTATACTCTTCAGGTCTCAGCAAGAAATAGCTTTCTGCAGAAAGAGCAATTAAGAAAAGAGAAACTGTGCCTCGCTAGTCCTGTGTAAATCTGTGAGGAGTACCTGTAAGGTGTCCTGTAAGCCCAGGCAGTTTCCAGAGTCCAGGGAAAGGAAAAGCTAAGGAGATTTTATGCTGTCTTTGGTCGGCATTAAAATGCTCAAAACAGACATGGGAGTGCTTGCAGCCATCGCAGAAAGAGCTGCATGAGCTCCTGGTGCAGCTCTGCAGCACAGCCCCAAGCAGCAAAGCTGCAGTGGTGGTGCCTGTGGTTGCACACAGAGCACACAGAGCAACCCAGGAAGGGCACCACTGAGACAGGAGATATTTACCAGGGACATAAATGGTGCGGTAAGGATGGCTGGTGAGGATGAATAGACAGGGGGGTCAGAGGATGAGTTTGGCAACAGCATTTCTGTCCAGCCACTAGCACTTCACAGAGCCAAGAGGCCCAAGGGCACCCCAGCATGATTTTGTGCAATTTTACACAGCTCAACTTTCAAGATTTAGCAAAAGCATACAGGCAAAAGAGGGAGGAAAGGCTGGCAGTGTTCCAAGTATGGGATCTTGGAGGATATAATGTACACTTAAATCCCGAACAGCTGAGTGTATGGGTGCCATCTTGCAAAACCTGGATAACCCAACAGCTCAGAGGAGCACAGGGCAATGCACCCTGCTCACTGTGAGTATAGCTTCAGGAGGCTTTAAAGACAGGATATCTCTCACCAGCTGACTGCTATGATAAAATAGCATTGTGGAAAAGTGTTTCAGAGGTTTGCCAGTATTTATGGGAACTGACCTCACAGCCAGGCACATATTCATGTAACTTGATAGGTCCTAAAATGAAACTTTTTCACCCAGCACAAAAAATCCCCAAGCATATTGGAAGGCACCCCACTTACCTTGAAAGGACCAATAATTTCATTGCTAAAGGCTGCTGTGGGGAAACCAGTGGGGGAAGATATTTTATCTGTATTATTGGACTGAAAAGGAAGCAAGCGAACCTGAAGCATTTCAAATGCAACAGATCACGTTTGCCTGAGAAAATCTTACTGCATCATTCAGTAAGGGCAGGGCCACATAGGTGGGTGCGATTGCTCAAACTGAGTGGGAGCTGCCTGCAGGCCCCTCTTTTAGAAGAGTAAATGTGTGACCAAGGGATCTTTACAACACAGCATGAGCCTGAAGGCCACACCATATATACAGGATATCCCAGCAAAGGCACACAGAATTGCGTGACCATTTGGTGACCATTACCAAATATGCCTGTGAACAGTATTTCCTGCATGCAGCTGAGCAGACTGCTTTAAAATACTCTAAAAACATGACAATGACTACAAGAAAGTTCACAACCTCCCTGAAGTTACCTAGGGTGTAATAACGTGGCTGGTGAAAAGAAGATAACAAATTCTCTTCTCTAGGCACTTAGCCATGCAGAATTGCTCCTACAGCAAATACTTATTTTATTCATAACATTTGATTTCTCTACCCACAACATAGACCTTCTACCCCCAGATGAGATGCAGAGACCTGAACTGCTGATTCATATCTAGCAGACAGAAGGCAAGACCAAGACAGAACATTTTCTAAACAAGTGTACTTTTATTTTGTGAAAAAATAAGGGTTAGATTTTTGCCAGAGGCTTCTTTGTAGTCAGAATACCTTTCTCAAACAGAAGTGTAGCTAGAGAAATCTTTTCCTCCAAGGTTTCACATGGAAGGTTAGCCACACTTACATGATTTGGATAGGAAGACAGAAGAAATTCTATACTGTCTGTATATTCAGGATCTAGCTCAAGGAACTTGGGTTCTTCCTTATGATACACTCTTGAGTTTTCTGTAGTGTAGTACAGCATCACACCTGCTTCTTCATTACACAGTCTAACGATGCCATGACGGAGCAGGCGTACTTCGGTGTCTTTTGTTATCAGGATATCAACATTGCAGGGGCCTCCATCTTGCCACCGGGCCGGGAAGCCATAGACACTCTGTGCCTTTTCACTTTGCGTGAGCACTGGAGGGAGACAGTCATGAAGAAACGACTTGGCTCTCTGATCCACAGCAGCATCAATGGGTGCATAGTCAACAAGTTTCTTTATCAGGCTCTGCACCTTCTCCACAAAAGCCGTTCGCCGAGCATCAACTGTGTCAGAGTTAGCAACCCCCATATACTGCAGGTAGTCCATTGGAAGCCCCCGTCGGTACTCCACATCTTCCTCCAGGGCCATCTGAAGGGCAGCTGGGAGGAGCTTCTCCAGAAAGTCCCCCCAGGAATTCCTCTGGTAGGAAGACACAGTGATGTGGAGTGAATGTGCATCAGGGAGACAATCACCCTGGTGGATAAAGCCACGGGGGAAGTACAGCAGGTCTCCAGCCTCCAGCACAGTCTCCAGCACAGGCTCACCGAGTTCAGCCTGCGTGAGGTTTGTGCTGGAGAACTGGGGCAGCACCTCAGCATCTGTTCGGGGCCTGTAGACACGCCAGTGCTTCTTCCCCTCCAGCTGCAGCACGAAGGCCTCGATGTCATCATAGTGGGGGGCAAAGCCCTGCGTACCCGGGGGCGTGAGGTAGGTGTTCGCGCCTGCCATGCTGCCAAACTGCTCCTGCAGGATGGAGAGGAAGTGCCAGACGGTAGGGGAGAACGCCTGCGGGCAGAGGAGGCGCAGGGAGCAGCCGTTCTGGTAGAAGTCCCACACGACAGCGGGCAGGGCTCTTCCGGAGGGGTTGTGCGTCTCCCGCACTCCCTCGGCATAGCTGGTCACATCCAGGTGGGTGCCGAAGTGAACCTCTCCTCCTTGCAGGGCGGCGTCGAAGTCGGCCGTGGAGAAGAGCCCCGCGTAGTAGCCGGGGTCGCCCCGCCGCAGCAGCAGCGGTGCCCGCTCCCAGTGCCGCCCCAGGAACTCCGCCGGCGCTACAGGGGCCAGCAGCCAGCGGAAGAGCTCGGCCGCCCGCTGCCGGCTGTCCTCCAGCCGCGCCAGCCGCCGCAGCAGTCCCGACACACCGCCGCCGTCCCCCCCCGCCGGCCGCGGGCCGCCTGGCATCGCCTTGGGGCCGCCACGCGGTTTCGCATCAGGCCCGGCGGCCGTCGCCTCGGGCCGAGGATCCACGGGGGCCTCCACGGGGGCCTCCACGGGGGCCTCCACGGGGGCCTCCACGGGGGCCTCCACGGGGGCCTCCACGGGGAGCTCCACGCGGCTCGGGGGTGCGGCGGGCGGAGGCGCCTTCGACTCCGAGCCGCCGCCTCCCGCCCGACCGCGCCTCGGGCGGGCCTTGGCCCGCTTGCGACCCGCGGGCAGCGGGGCCCCGCGGCAGCGCCGCTCCATCCGCCCGGCTCCCGCCATCCGGCGGTACACGGCGAGTGCCGAGAGCCGCCCCAACTCACGCTGCTCAGCCACCATGGCCGCCATGGCTCCCCGCCCCGCGCCACCGCTTCCGCCGGGAGCGCCCCGGGCACGGGATGGAGCCCGTCCCCGCCTGTCCCCGCCCCCCCGTCTGCCGCCGGAAGGACGCGTTCCATGGGTGTCTGTGGTGCTGTGTGGAACAGAATGTCTTGTCTTTTGTCATCTCCGCCGCTTAAAATGTGCTGGGTATATTTGCTTCCCCCGCCCTGCGGAAGAAAAAGAGAGGCGATTCGCCTTGGTACGATGCAGGTCTGTTCCTTGGCTGGGAAGCTTCGTTCTGGAAGTACGCTCTAAGCAGTACGTTCAGAAAGTTATGTTTTGTCTGAAGGCGTACGGTAAAGATATGCTTTCAGACAGCCTGGAATTATTTTGTAACCTAATGAGTCTAGATGAGCTAACACTCATTTCATAATGTGTTGCACAAGGAGTAGCAACCCAAATTGAATGGAGCTAATTCTTGTGTCCCACCCCCCTCCCCTTTTCTTGTGCTTCTGATGGTGATGGCAGCTGAAAGGCTGTCATCTCAAAAGGATCCCAAAAACCCAAAAGATGGTCATGTCACATAGTATTTGTTGGTTTCTTGGTTTTGTTTGTTTGGTTTTTTTTTTCCCAAATCCATTCACTGTCTAATAACCTGGGCAGACCTTTGTTTCCTCTCTGTTTCTCTCCGAGGCTTCCCAGAAGGCCAGCATTAATGGTGCTGGGCAGCCTGAGGGCTGCTCTGCGCTTCCAGAGGCTGCAGCTTCAGCGTAGGAAGCTTTGCTAGAGGGGTAGAACAAGACTCTGCTTGAGGCAGAGGTAGGGGTTTGTATTGACAGACTTATATTTTTGATCAAGATACAAGCTTCAGTTGAAGAAATTCGCTATGCAGTACTTTTGTGAGAAGAATCTTTGATGAACTTCAGTAATTCATGGGAATGAATTTTGCATGAGAATTTCATCTCCAGAGGCTGCTGTGAGTCCAAAGCATTTAACTGCAGCAATTACCCAAGTATGCCCAGGAACCCTCTGGTTCACAGGGTGTTATTAACCTCTCACAGATATGAATATCAGCTGCACACAATATATTAAACAGCTAACACTCTAAGGCATATGCAGATTTGTTGTGTGGGCTACTTAGTGTATCAGGCATAGGATATAAAGCTGAAAAGAGAATTTTCACCTTTTGCCAGGTTTCAACCCAGACCTACATTTCAATTTTACCACAATTCAGGAGCAGAAATCAGTTAGGCCTAATGAGGATAAGTTCAGCTGTTAATCTCAATTCTAGAATTGATGCAGATACCTCAAAGGTTGTTTAAATTGCCTTAAAAACAACACAAATCTGTCTCACAGAACACCAATATGCTCCAATCAATGAAGGCCTTTATGTATATGTGCAAGAACAACTGTTTTAATTTTGGAGGTATTTTTCTGATGGAGTGCTTCGGGCATAGCCTTCGCAGCCAAAGCTGCGTAAAGAGCAACGGCAGTAGAAGACTGTCCTCTTTGTGCCACGATGGTTTTAGTTAATGGAGACGGATTTTAGGAGTGCACAGGCAGCCTTCAGGCTCCGATTTCACGCCTGGGCCGTTTGCGGCTTTGCCAGCAGGTGGCAGAGGCCGACCAGCAGAATTGCCAGGCAGCGCTGTGCGCCCCGCTCCGGGAAACGCGCGCAGGGAGCGCCGCATCTGCCTGGCAAGGTGACCCGCGGGGTGCGGAGCGCAGAGAGAGGGGAGCGCAGGCAGCCTGTGCGTGCATCTGTAGACTAGAAGAGAAGGGAAGGGCGAACGCTATTTCAATCCACTCTTTGTTTCCCCAAGGTTAAGCCCTGCTTACTAGAATAATCTTATCAGCTGAAACCATTTCAACAGAACTGGACTCTTAACAAAATCGAGATGCAAAGCGCTTGAAATATGGTAAAAGTTAGGCCATTGTAGGCTTTGATTATACGTAAGCACGGCTAAACAGGCTTGGCAGGGGAAGACTTTTGAAAAACCTGGGTGTCTGGATTGTTATTTGTGTTACTGCTTAATTTACTGGAGTGCAACTGATCCTTCTGAGAAGAAGCCAGGCGCTGTGCACAGAGCCTGACCTGAGTTACACCAGGATATCTGTAATGACAGCAGCAAAGCTGTTCTGGATGTTTACCAGTACAGGGGGTTCAAAGTCCCATTTGAGGGCCCTGATCTTCATAGGGATGTCACTTTCTACTGCTGAGAGACAGTTGATTGACACTGGGTTTTTTATGATATATAACAAAGTCTCTGAGCAAAGGACACAGTGGAAAATAATAGTGGTTAAATCTCTATAACAAGAAAACATTTATTTTGACAATTTAGTCTCTCTAATAATAAATTCTTTTGAGAATAAAAAATGTTGCTATTTTTCTGTGTGACACAAGAAAGGGTTTTGACCTAGGGCAAAAAGAGAGAGCTTCAGTGTCACTTACAGAGTACTCAGATGATTGTTTAGGAATAGCCACAAAGTTTACATGCTCTTTGCTTTCATTGTCCAATATTTAAAGGGAACTTGTCGAAAGAAAGATGTGTCATGTACAGCTCTTTAAATAAACAAAAGGAAAGCCATACAGATCTCTGAATGATTAGGTGATCCCTAGCTGCTGCTTACACAGACAGAGTAGCAACTGGAGGCTCAATTAAATTTCTTAATTAGAATTTAGCACAAAATTACTTGGGTTTTATGAACATATAAGCTGCATTGCCAAGAGCCACATGTGTTTTATTTAAGAGGACATATAAATGTGGTGAGTACAACCTATTAGAGAGTCACAAGTGACTTCAAAAGAAGTAAGTAAATGGCACCTTAAAGAGATGTAGGGTTCATTGGATATTTTAACTTTATGCCATTCAAATAATTGAAATCTCAAATTTAAAGAGCAGTTTGGTTTAAGTCCTGACCCTGCAAAGCTATGAGTAGTCTTCACTAATGAGTGGAAAGGACAAAATTCTTTGCAGTTTCCTCTGTATTAGATACTCAGTTGTTCACCATTGTGCAGATCTTCTCTGTGTTCCCAGAAAATCATTAATGTAAACCAGTCACTATTAGAAAATTAAGCCCAGCTTAATCCTTCTTCTCATTATTACTTTGCTGGTGACCTTCCTTTTGCACCATCAGTTTTGTTTTCATGCCAAAACTAATACCTAGTAAGGATAAGGAGCATTTCAAGCCTTCACTAACAGGTTTGCTTAGCTGACAATCTTTCTTATACAACCTAGCTACATCCACTGTGTCATCACTGGAAGGACACTCGGATGGATTGTGAAGCCTGCTGCTCATTGTGAAAGCTATAAAGTTCACTGCCAGATATAACAAGACTGAAAGCTAATTCAGGAACTGTTTCTCAAGAGCTATCCTCTGGCCTCCCTCATCAGAGTGAATGCACTCACTCACTGAAGCATCTTTTGGCAGCAGCTTTGGCCTCCCTCCAGCTGTTTCTCTCTTCTCAGGAATTTTCTTATTCAGTGACTGGTTGTGGTCTTTAATCCTGGTTGTCTTGTACAAGGAACCCCACTGAGTAAAGAAGCCTTCCCTGCCATGGAACAGCCAAATTAAAGCACATTTGTAAAAATCATAATTAGAAGGTCCTGTCCTCCCTGTGAAATTATCTTTTTGGAGGGATTTGGAAGCACAGACATTTTGTTTTGTACCATGTGGCACTAAAGCAGAAACATTAGAATTAAAGTTGAATTAAAATAATGTATTTAAGTAGAACCCTTGGCTGAGTTTACTCACCCTGTTGAATAGGCATGTGTACTTTCAAATTCTGAAATAATTTTATGAGGGTTTTTGTACTTTTATTAGATGCCATCTAGCATTTGGTAGCATTGAGCAGATACCATCTGCAGTGACTCCATAGGCAGTGATTAAATACAAAGCTCCAGACTTCAAGGCTCCAGCAGAAGAAGAGAAAGAAATGGCCATGAAGAGAAAATCCCCATCCTAAAATGAAGGCAAAGAGGACCTGAATGAAATACTTGTCATGTGGGATTAATCACATCTAAAGAACCAAGGTAGAAAGTACAGTCAATGCATAAATCTTGTGCTAGAGAATATCCTTTTGATATGCACAGACCTTGGCTCTTGACAAGATGTTTGGCTGATGCCTTTCCATGGAAGAAAGGTTTTAAAAGATTCTTGCTCCTCATATCCTTTCTGCACTAATGATGGCAACTGCATAGCTTTGTTCATTAAATACACTTATACCCACTATTTCAAGATTAACATATAGCTGTGCCAACATAGGGCAGCCCTATTCAACATTTGCTTCTCCTGTAAGCTTCTTCTAATCAGAAGCCTTGCAGAAAGACTTTACCTTTTCTTCCCTATATTGAAGTTTTTCTGAAGTACTCTGAAATTGCTTGCTCACTTCAGATGCCATACTACCAAAATGAAAATACTGTGCAAACAGAATGCCTTGGTTTAGCAACCATATTGGCTCAGATCTACTCAGAACACAACAGGAGAAAGCCCCTGTAGTACTTGCTTATTTGCTTCCCATAGTAGATATGTGTTGCTACTAACCAATATGGCACCTTATATAAGTATTTTTGAACATTTCCAGTGCTCATTCAGACACAAAAGCTCCTATTGTTTTGTATATATTGCCAGAAATATGGAATTCTTCTTTGTGAGCATAAAAATGCATATATGGTAGTATTTATACTGGTATGGCTTGTTCCTAGAAGGGATAATATTATGGTGTGATTAGAGAAGGGAGATTTAATCACTGACATTATTTTAGATAACCAATAGGGAAGAATGATGTTAGGCCTCCGGGGTCTGCAGCAGGGATAAAGGAGTTTGCATTGTCATGAATGTGTGTGTAATATATTCTTAGGTCCTTAGGGAATAGCATACTCTCCTGCTGTCCCACTGAGTCCAGGAAGGATCTTGGCTAGAAAGGCACAGCTGACAGGAGTCAGTGGGCATGACAGGGACAGTCAACTCAATTAATCCTGTGTATTACACAAGGAGCCCTGTTCCCAGCCTTAAAGAAAAGGTGATAAGGAGCAAATTGG